ACCCTAGGATCAATGGAACAGATTAGAAGATACAGAAATAATTCCAAACATACTCAGCTACCTTATCTTTGACAAAGAAGACAAAAACCTTCACTGGAAGAAAGACCCTCTTTAATAAGTGGTGCTGGAATCCACATGTCAAAGATGAAATCTAGATCCATATCTTTTGCCATGCATAAACTAAAATCAAAATGGATCAAAAATCTAAATATTAAAATAAACACTCAATCTGCTATAAAATAGAATAGGTAGAACTCTTGAAAACATTGGTTTAGGCAAAGACTTTCTCAACAAAACTCTAGTTGCACAGGAAATACTACAATGAATCAATTTATTCTTCTTTTTAAAAGATCTCATATTATTAAAAAGCTTTTGCACAGCAAAAGAAACAAACAGAGTGAAGAGACAATCCACAGAGTAGGAAAAAATTTTTTACCAGCTATTCCTCAGATAAAGTAATGATATCTAGAATACATAAGGAACTCAAAAAATTAGAATCCCCAAATTTAAAGATCCAATCCAAAAATGGGCATCTGAAATGAATACACATTTCTCAGATGAAGCAGTAGAAATGGGAAATAAATATATAGAAAAAGTTCAACATCACACTTCATATGACAGATGCAAATTAAAACAATGCTGAGATTCCACCTCGCCCCACAAAGAATGGCTATTATTAAGAAATCAACCAATAACAAATATTGGCAGGGCTGGGGGGAAAAAGGAACCCATCTCCACTGTTGGTGGGAGTGTAGACTGGTGTGGAAATCAGTGTGGAGATTCCTCAAAAAACTAAAAGTAGAGGTTCTCTTCCACCCAGCTATTCCCCTTCTTGGTTTCTTCCCAAAACATTTGAAAGCATTGTGCCACAGCTATGCTTTCTGGTATAAGAAACTGAAAGAATAAATAAGGACCAAAATGTATAAAGACATTGAGAAATGAGTGGGAAATGGGAAGAAAATGTTCAAATGCGAAGGGGAACAAGGAAGAGGGAAGGAGGAAAGGAGAGACAAGGAAAAAAGAAAATAGAAGGAAAAAAGTAGAAACAGCTTTGGACAAGGGGTTGAATGGAGTGGAAGGAACTGGGGGAAAAGAATAATCAAGATATATCATGTACAGATACAAATTCCCTATGATGAATGTTACATTCTGTGTATCTTTGTGTGTGTGTGTGTGTGTGTGTGTGTGTGTGTGTGTGTGTGTGTCTTTTTTGAGACAGGGTCTCTCTATGCAGTTCAGGCTGGACTTGAGCTCACTTTGTAGCCCAGGCTGGCTTCAAACTCACAATGATTCTCCTGCTTCCGCCTCCTACTGCTGGGATTACAGGCGTGTGCCACCATGCCCAGCCTTAATTTTTTTTTTCAACTCTCCAGAGAAAAAGTTGGGGAGGGGAATCATGACTGGTTCTTTGTTGATGCTGGTTGGGGTACCTGGAAATTCACTTGTCTCTGGATTTTTGGGTATATTAGCATTTTTCCATAATAAAACACTTAAAAATAAAGCATCTCTTTCAGGGTGAGCAACTAAGATATGACTCCTACATTTCGTATGACTCCTACATTTCGCAAGTTGGACGTCACTGGTAATCTTGACTGCTGCAGATTGAGTGGGGACAAAGCCCAGTTGAAACACGTTCCTATTCCCTCCTAGGAAGTGAGGAAATGAAAACAAGTGGTAGCTGCAAAGGGATGGGAGGGCCATTCTGTGTGTAAAAGGGAGACATGGGCTGGTGGAATGAAGTAGCACACTGGCTTTTGGCGAGGTGAAGGCACAGGATAGCTCAGGACCCAGGTCAGAGGGGCTATTTGTTCTTTACAAAGCCAGGTCACCCTGGTTGCCTGAGTGGATGTCGAACACTCATCAGCTTTAGCCCAGGCATAGGCACCTGAGAACAACTTGTTATCAGGTCACAGGGCGGACAGAAAAGGGAGCTTGTAGAGCTGGAGCAGGAGCAGCACGCCTAACACACTGCAGACCCGGAGTCTGGAGTCACAGCCCACAGCCCTGGCCATCTGAGCTGAAAAGAAACCCATACCCCAGCTGGGTGCTAGCAAGGCCCTGTGCAGCCAAACCAGGTACAACCTATTTGGACTGAGAAACAAAGGCTCAGGCCCAGGGCAGCCAGCCCGGGTGCAGTGCAGTCCCTCCAGCGATCCCAGCCCAGGCCCTGCCTGGGCAGTCTGAGCACATGGGCATTGCCCTGAGCCTGTTTAGGTGATGCCCACACCCTAGCCTCGCCCTCTGGTCCACTGACCTGTGGGCTCCCAAACCTCTGACCCCTGAACAGCTGCACACCATGGATTAGGATGGCTGTGTTTTAGCTAACCAACCCCAAAATGGAGAATGGCGCAAACACGAGGAAAGTGTATGTCTCTGTGGTGTCAAATTCTGAAGGGGGATCCTGAGACACGGGTGGCCTCCTCCAAGCAGCAGCTCAGGGATGGGCTCCTTTAACCCTGTGGCTCTGTCATATTCAGCACATGGCCCTCTAGATCACGGTTAGGTCTGCATCAATCCAGCATGGATGGCAGAACATGAGGAGCATGTGGGAGCTGGGGCAAGGGGCAGGCCTGGAAATGGTATGCACACTCCCACAGTCCCCCAGCTGGAACGGTCCCCTGTTCTACCTAATTGCAAGGAAGGCCGGGCAGTGTTGTTCCACTGTGTGACAAGAAAGAAAGGACTGGGTTTGGTGGCCTTCAGTCCAGCTTGGGGCCCAGACACTTAGCTCCACCTCCACAACTGCCTTCTGGCCTCCCCAGGATGTTCCTTTGTTTCCCACCCGCACTGGCCTTGGCCCATCCTGCCCTGGGACACACCCTCCTGCAGTTTCCTCTGGCACAGGTCAAGACCTAAGAAGAGACTAGTCCTAGACAGTCAGAGCAGCACAGAGAACAGGTTTATTCCTTGTGAGTTTATAGAACCACAACACAGAGCAAATGTGGTGCAGGGAGTGGGCAGAGGGCCTTTCCCGCTGCTTTCTCACCTGCCCGTTGCCCAAGGAAGGGCATGCATGGGTGATAGACACAAGCTGTGGGCCCACTGCCCAAGCAGAGAGCAGAAGGGGATGCCGAGGTGAGACTCAGCTCTGTGGGCTGGGGAGGTGAGGAAAAGCCTGGGACTCAGGTCTCTCTGGGATGAGGTTGCCCCTCTCCAGCTTCACTGCTGGAGTTCTACACAGCAATATCGGGGAGCTCCACTGGAAGCCCTGAATGAGGAGTCCTCAGCTCCTGAGCCCGCAGCCATCTTCCCCCACCTGCACCCAGCTCACCTGAGAAGAGCCCTGTGCTCTCAAAGCATCCCTTTCCAGTTCCATGCCACCTCTGCTACCAAAAGGGCTCCCTTCATGGGCACTGGGAATGCCAGCAAGGTACAGAGGCAGGCAGGAAAGAGGCTGTGGGGATAAGGGGCACCCAGAAGTTCCCTGTGCATTTCTAGGATGGAGAATCTGAGACCTGGCCCTGCTCCACTGCCTCTCCAGAATGACCAAGGGGACAAGAAGCAGGGAGGCCTAGGGGAACTTGGCTACATAGGACACAGACAGACAGATAGACACAGACAGCTGGGAGCCGCTGGGCAGGGGTCATCTCTTACTCGCCGTCCCAGCCTCGACTCATGGCCTGCACCACGGCCCCGTACAGCTGGCTCCAGGCGGCCCGTGTGGCTGGCGTGAAGGAGGGGCCCAGGCAGCTCTCCAGCATGTAGAGCAGGGACTCGCCCACCGTCTGCAGAGGGAAGGGGCACCTGATCATCTCCAAGGCAGCGAGACATCACTCTCTTCCACAGGGGAGAAAACTGAGGCCCAGGCTGATAAGGACTCCTGGGCCTGCCTTCTCTGCTGCACAGTTTGTGCTTTCTGAGCAGTGCCCTACCCCAACCCTTAGATACCACCTGTGCCACTGTCTTCCCTACGCATGAGGCTCTACAGTGAACAAAGCATTGTGCCTCACACCCAGCTTTGCAACCACCCCTCAGAGCTAAGGCCAAACCACGTCCTTATCTTTCAGCCTCAGTTTCCTCGCTTATGAGGAAGCAATCATATAGTTAAGAGCCAGGCTCTAGACCTACTTCAGATTCTAACCACTTATGAACTGGGTGCCCTTGAGCAAGTTATTTAACTTCTGTCAACCTCTTTAGAGAAACAGGGAGAATAAAAGTTCCAAATCCTGGTTTGCTGGGAGATTCAATGGCATAATCTACGAAAAGGTCTCAGCATAGTATCTGTATACACTGTCCCTTCAGTGATAATGCTCTCATCTGTTATTTTTTGTTGATTTGTTTGGGTTTTTGTTGTTGTTGTTTGTTTTCTTTTGGAGGTAGAGTCTTGCTCTATAATTCAGGCTAGTCTTAAACTATGTAGCCCAGGCTAGTCTCGAACTCACAGCAATCCTCCTGTCTCAGCCTCCCTGAGTACTGGATTATAGGCGTGTGCTACCACACCTGGTTCTCATCTATGATTAAGTGAATAAAATAAGGTTTATGTAACCCACAAATATTTACTGAATATTCCCTAAAAACTAGGCACTGTGCTAGTGCTGGGAGAGACCAACACCATCCCTTTCCTAGATGCTTCCTGTCTGACAAGGTGGTTGGGCTACTAGGCAAAACGTTACATCAGCAGCCCCCAATGAACTATGCCTCAAGGATTCATGAGTAGAATCCTCCTACCTCAACACTAGGTTCATCCACATGACTGGCCCTAGTGGGTGGGACATTGATAAAAGTGATGCAAGCAGAGATTCTCTGAGCACATACATACTGGGGCTGTCCTCTTGGGACTCAGCTGCCCTGGGAAGATGCCTGGCTGGGCTGCTGCATAGTAAGAAGTCATGAGGATAGACATGCCAGCTCCAGCTGTGCTCCTAGGTGGACACAATATATGGGTGACTTCTTTTGCCACATGGAGCAGAAGAACTATCCTGCTGAGCCCCGCCATGAGAAATCAGTACTGGCCATTTTAAACCAGTAAATTTTGGGAGTGGTGTGATGGCGGCCTTAGAAAGCTAAGAAGACCAGTTAATTCCAAAGGCTCCTACACTTTTGTGGTCTAAAACACCACACAGTGGAGAGAATTTGGAGCCTTTGAGAGGTCAAGTCAGTGCCAGAGTCACACAGTAACAGATGCAAGCCTCTGCAGATGGGGACAGAGAACAGGTAGGTGTGGGGGGGGCCTGAGAGACAGTGGAAGCTCTGGGTTGGGGCTCTAGAGAGACAAAGAGGCCTATTACCCACCGAGAAGGAGCTCAGCTTCACACCCACTGCCCGGTGCTTCTTGCCCAAGCCAGCGAGGTACTCCTCCAGTGAGGATAAGTCCTCCACATTGGTCACTGCAGCGTCGATCACAAGCATCACCTGCCAAGGCCGGGACAGCAGTGACAGAGAGGCTGGGGCTACCTCATCTGCTCACAAGCATAGCCCCAAACCTGAGAGTTCCAACCAGAGGGAGGAGAGCCCTATAGGACCCTCAGTCTTCCAGGATCAGGGGCAAAAACCAGCCCGTGACTCCTATACTGTAGCCACCCAACTATTGCTCCTCTCCTCAGAGGGTCTCAAAACCCTCAACCACCTGCTGGACAGGTGAGAAGACACTGAGGCTGTAAGAGGCACAAACCTCTTTAACAAAACCCCAGCCTGGTATCATAAGCAGGTGCCCCAGGAACCAGGGTGATGCCAATACAACCCATGGGAGCTGGGGACAAGGCTGCAGGCAATGATGGAGGGTGAGACCAGCACAGGGTCAGGAGGGAGGCTGACTCTGGTGTCTCAGAGGGAAAGGAGGGGATGTTCTCACCTGGGGAGCAGCAGGGGGATGTCCCACCAGGCCTAGGGCAAAGTTATTTTCCTATGCCCGGTCCCCCCTCCTCTTTGCTGGATCCCAGGGACCACAGCAGCTCCCTCCCCTCACCTTCCTGATGTGGTCCAGAAACTCGGGGGAGGAGAGGCAGTCTTCGGGGCTGGAGAACTGGCGGCCATTGTACTGGAAGAGAGGCAGCAGGTCGGGCTCCAGGGCAAACAGCCTGCGGAACAGGGAACAGATGTCCTCTAAAGGCGGTGGCTGGGAACCGCAGGCCCCTATGGACCCTGGCTGCAGCAGTAAGCCACAGCACACACTCACCCCAGCACTGCTACTTTTGCCAGTGCCCTCCTCACTCCTTCCCAGGCTCTGAGAAGGACATGGTCTCAGCCTCTTGCAGTACCTGGCACACAGTAACCATCCTAAATTGGGGGGTGTGTGTATGTGGCTTGGGACAGGCAGGAGTCCTCAAGCAGGTAACATGGACTCATACTGGGAGAAGGAGAAACCCTGTCTTTTCCCCTTAGGTCAGAACTTGTCAGTCTCATCCACTCAGAGGAGGCTCCAGCCAGTGATGAAAATAATATCAAGAACAATCTTGCTAGTGTAGTATAGTTGCAGGTACAAGCCTGCAATTCTGGCACTCTGGGAGGCTGAGGCAAGAGGATCGAAACTTCAAGTGTGAGCAATTTAGTGACTTAGTGAGATCCTGTCTCAAAAAAATAAAAAAAGGGCCGAGGATGCAGCTCAATCTAAAGGTCTTGGGTTCAGTCATCAATACGGAAAAAACAAAACAAAACAACCAACATCTCTTTATACTTACCAGTACTTCTCATGTCATTAACTGGTATGTAATCACCAAGCAGTTGGTACAACAGTTATCCCAATTTTACCGAGGAAGGAAACCCAGACAGGCTTAGCAACTGGTCTAAGGTCACACGGGGTGAAAGTGGAGGACTCACAGCAGGCAGAGGCCAGAGGGAAAAGGTGAGTTTAGGAAAAGCCAAGAGGCACAGCAGAAGCTGTCAGGCCCAGTGGAGAGGGCTCGCATTTTTGTGTGATTCTGACTGTTCCGTATGATTCTGTCTTGGGGGAGGTTTTACAAAAGCCCAGTCAGAAGTTTAGGGCTGGGCTAGGGAGGCCGGGGGCGTTGCCCGTGGGTAAAGACAGTGGGGTTATGCAGAGAGCCCCAGGCCGGAAACAGCCCTCTTACCAGGAGGGAGGGCACAGGAACAGCATGACAGTGGCCCCTTGGGGGGAGAGGTGGGCGACTGTCATGCCTTCCCTCGTGGTTCTCTGGTCCTGGTGCGCCCTGCACGCAGTGGCCTTCGGGGGCCCTCAGTCCCCCAGAGAGGACAGCACTGGTCAGCCCAGCAATGACCACCGAAATATGCGCAGGACCCGAGGGCCAAGGAGGGGACAAGGGGCGGGACCAGTGTCCTACCACCCAGGGCTAATGAAGTCCGCACGAGGGATCCCCGCCTGCCCCGGGGAGCGCAGTCGGGAGCAGCGAGCGCGGCCCGGAGAGCAGCAGAAGGGGCTGCGCCACCCGTCTCCACGCGCACCCAGCTACTCTGGCGCACATCTGGCAATCGCCCCTGCACCACAGTGGCGGCCAGGTTTCCCTCCTCCTGTGTCGGTGCAGCCGCCTAGAACCCATTCCTAGCTAGGCGCCCTCCACCCGCACCCCTGGGGTTCTCGGGCAGCCCCTACCTGGCGAACAGGACGGTGCCGTGCTCCAGCGGGCTGCGGCTCACTGCCTGCCAGCTTTGCCGGATCAGCTCGGGCTCCGGGCGCTCCATGTTCTCCTGGACACGCGGGACGCAGGACTGGGACCCTCTGGGCGCGGGCGCCGTCATCGCACGTGCAGCGCCATCTCCGCGGGGACGCGGGACCCTCTGCACCCCCTATGGCCCCTGTGCCTCCGCCGGGCAAGGCCCAGCAGCTCCTTGCCTGGCCGAAGCTGAGAGAAGATGCGCGTAGCCCGCCGTAGGTGGAGGCAACTCCGCCGTGCCAGCCGCGCTGCCGCTTCTGGAGACCCCGCTCCGGCCGCTGCGCCTTACTCCCTGTCCCTGAGAGCCGCCCTTTAAAGCAACCGCGGCTCCCGCCCCCTCCCGTCCAGCAAGGCGCGCGCAGTGCCTCTGCAACTGCTAGGGCCGGTGCAATCTGGAGGCCTGCGAAATGCCCAGGTTTCAGAGTTCAGAAGAAATCATCGAGCCCTCTCTGTGTTTTGTTTTCTCACTAATTTTTTGGAAAGGAGTGATAATATTACTACCTATTAGAAGGATATTGTGCTGAATTTGCCCCTACTCAAACATCACTAGGAGGCTTCTGACTTTGCCACCTCTGAGCACTTGGTCTCTGTTCAAATCATGCCCGACTCCTGTTTCTTTCTGCTCTAAGATCTAGTTAGCAGACATCAGGTCACCTATTTGTGGAGCAGACAGAGGGCAAGGGTAGTGAGAGGCTCTGCCCAAGCTCTGGGTCTAACTGGGGCACCTGCAGACTTGGGGGGACAACAGAGCCTTCCAGCTTAGGGACAGAGCCCAGACCACAGCCATTTCCAACCTGGACCTGGGCTTTCCTGAGACCCCAGCTTTAGGAATCTGTGAGCTCCAGCTCCAAATCCATTCCTGCTTGGTCTGCATGGAATCCTGAGGGCAATGCGGTCCATGTGAGGGCTGCACGACCTTCACAGGGAGTTAGGCTCTATTCTGTCAGCCCACCATTTATTAAAACCCATAGCTTTTTAAAAATAAAAAGTACTATTTACTTTTTAAAGTAGAAGTTAAGACTCATGGCTACCACGCAGGCTATGGTGCTGGCCACCTGTCAATAAGAACTAAAATTCTCTTTCCAACATAAAAGTTCCTTTGACCCCAGTCCAGTTCCAGAGGCCCAGGTTTTAGAGAACAAACCTCTCACCCTCATTTTATCATTCATTTTTGACTCTTTGAGTCTCTCTCAACACGCCCACATCTATCTCAGCCTCAGCTGCCTCAGCTGTACCAAAAGGGAGGTGAGTAGTAAGGTCTCTCAAGGCCTTTCAGTCCACTGTCCTTGGTGATATAAGGTGATCACTGGTCCACAGTGGTTATGAGTGTCTGTGGCTCCTGGCCAGCCCTGTACTGAGTCCTTCACTCTACAGCTTCTGGCACTGAGTCTGGACTGACGGCCTCGGTCCTGCTTCTGGCGAAGCCCCATAAACCATCCTGCTGTTGTGTCTCTTCTTAGGACAGAGCCTGGGTATGTTCTACTCCACTCTCCCCCAGTGCCCATGCATCTCTGGGGCACTGGGCTGCAGCAGGACACCAAGACTTTGGGGACAGTCTGGAAAATCTGTATCCTAAAGAGCCTGAGAGGTCCCCAAGCAAAAGCACAAAGGGAGAAGGCAACAGTCTACACTCAGGATGCTTCTTGCCTCCTTTCCCAGTTGGCCAGGGTTAGTGGTCTGATGAATTCTTGGGGGGTAATGGCCTTAGCTAGTTAAGTGTAAAGTTAGCACTCAAACCCATCTCACCCTCATTTTATCATTCATTTTTGACTCTCTGAGCCTCTCTCAAGATGCCCACAGGCCTCAGCTGCCTAGAGTCAGAAGGCAGCAGGAGAGGGCGAAGTACACTCTGACCGAGGCCCCCTGGAAAAAGGCCTAAGGATCAGCTGTAGCCTAAGGGTCCCAACCAGTAGTCACAGGAGCTCTTCCTCTAGGATCTTCCAGACACATGTGCAGGACGTTTTCACATGAGAACAGAGGTTCGCAAGACAGTCCTCAAGACAGTGCTGTCACTCAGGTCAACACATCCTGACAGTGGAGAGCCAGCACTGATTGGGCATTTGCGTTCTGACACCATGACCATCAGCTCCTTGCATTCTTACAACAGCGCTATCAAGTAGATGCTATTATACCCTCACCTGACAGATGAGGAAAGAGGCAGAGAACTCAAGTAACTGGGTCAAGGTCACGGTTAATAAGTGGTGGGGAGGATGTGAACTCAGGTTTGACCCTCTGGCTCGTGCTCTCTACTGCCTCCCTCACTTTAGTTTGGGGGTTTTTTGAAATAAGTTCTGTGTAGTTTAGGGTGGCCTTGAACACACTATGTAACTCAGGCTGACCTCAAGCTCACAGCGATCCTGCCTCAGCCTCGAGTGCTGGCATGATAAGCATTCACCACCACACTCTGCTTTCCCTCACTGTAAGGGTCCATGACCATGAGCTACGTCCACAGCTCAGGCCAAGCCAAGGTCACACCTGTACCCACCAACTCTCCAAAGTGTCATCAGAGACATCAAGTTGGTAGCTTGAAATAGGCCATGTGAAAGTATTCACACCACAGAACTGGCAAATGCTACATATTAGGGTTTCTTGAGTTTCTGCTGTCTTCATTTTCCACGCACAGAAACCTGCTAGAACACCTATGGTCACCAGTCTGGGTGTCCTGAGGAACCAGGTAACACTGCCCTGGCCGAGCTGTTGAGCTCAATGCAGGGTGCAGGATGTACAGCGCAGCAGGCTGAGTCAGGACACTTACCTCAGTGTCCAGAGTCGCCAGGGTACTCTAAGAGGTGCTTCTAGTTCCAGGACCAGGTGGGAGGAGATGCAAAAGGCCCCCTGGTGCTGAGTCCTATGTCTATTATTTCCTAACTGTGGGACCTTAGGTAAGTAATTTTCTCATCAGCAGAATAGAAACAAAATATCACTGACTTCACTGGGTCTTTTCAGATGAGATGTCATGGGTGTGCTGGGATTCTGTAAACTGGGCCATGTATTCAAAGAATATTCGATCTGTTACTGAGGATCTGTGTACCTCCCAGCCCAACTTCACAGTGCACTACCGGTCCCCTCCTGCCCTACCTTCTGCCCCCACTCAAGGAGCCCTCATCGCCCTCAGACCCCCAAGGCCATTCTTGATGATGGGACCCTGTCAGAACAGGAGCCTCTGCTAAGCAGAATGGCCCATTGCCACAGTACTGGGCCACTCAGCTATCTCAGAAGTGGATGAAATGGCTCCCTTGCTCCTTCCTATACTATCTGGGTAGGTTGAAAAAGAAAATATATGAGGTCCATATCCCCACTGATTTTAGAATAAGTAAACTGAAACAGCCACCACTATCACTCAAGTAGCTGCACATGGGAAGGCCCAGTGTCCTGGCATCAGGCTCACCTTGCCCAGCCAGGGCCTCTGTTCCAATCTTCTCTTCTAAAGGAGGCCTCTCTGGGACTGGAGGGCAAGTCAGGTTCAATTAAGTACAACAAGAACATGGCATTCAAAACAAGAGCTATTTATTACAAAAGTAACAGGCCTCTGATTATCTCTAGAAACCTTTTTTTTTTTTTAATTTTAATAAAATGTGGCTCAAGATGTTGGCTGGGGTCTGTGTTGCCTGACAGGCATCTTCTTCCTCCCCCAATAGTTTGTGGGACACGTCACATTTCTGTAAACTCCAGAGGGTACAGCCCACATTCAGAGCAACAACCAGCCAGTCTCTTTCCCCAGCACCTTCAAGTGGCAGAAACTGAGCACACAGAGCTGCATCACCCCACGTGGCCTTGTCCCCAGGAAAGTGTCTGCCAGCTTGGGCATGAAGGAAGGAGGAGTGGATAAGGAAGTTCTCTCTTCCACTCTTAAAAAGCAGTAGAAGAAACTTGTTCAAATCAGGAGGGAAGGGTAGGTGGGGAGCTGGCCCTCTCTTTCCTCACCCTTCTCAGAGGCTGCCCCCTCTGACTCCTTCAGCGTTCCTCCCTTCCAGCAGGTTCTTCTTGGGAAATGAGAAGGCACAAAGAAAAATCAGCCACCTCTGGGATATCATTGTGGACCACCACCTTTGCTAAGAGCCATGAAGATTCCCACATCCTATCCTTAAGAGAGCCCCTCCAGATGGTGTCCCAACCCAGCTCAGAAGAAAACAACCCTGTCTGTGGGGAGGGTGGGGGAAAAGATGGATACACAGAGCTTCTCCATTCCTGCTGTCCTTCCCCACCAGAAATGCAATTAAGCAGGCAGCCCAGACTCAGGACACAGGCGGCACTTCCTGCTGGGGGAAGTCAGAAGGGCTGCAGCACCAGGACAGGGAGGTCATGGGCCTCGGATCTAATTAACTGCCCTGCCTTGTTTTTCACGTGGCTGTGCTTCCTCTATTAACATTAATGATGCTTGGTCTCAATGTCTAAGCATGGCCCAGAAGCTTCCCTCCCCACCACTCAATAGGTAGCACAGCCTGTCCCTGAGACCAATTTCCAGTCTCCGTGGCAACCGCCTTCTGAAGATGCTTTAAAGAGCTCTGACCCTGTCAGAGTTGTTGGGAGCTACAACAGAGGAAAGATGCAGTGTGGCAGAAATTCATCATTAAACCTGGAAGCATCAAAGTCCTCCAAGACAAAAATGAACACCCTGCCCTGTCCTGATTAGGAGGGGAGGGAGGCATGTCCTATACTGAAGGGCTGACTCTGGGTTGGGTCGGTTCTGACCCAGAAATTTTCTTAATCCCTTTGGGGAGGATGTGGAAGCAGCAGCTCTGAGCTCCTTGTTTGAGCTTCGAAGTAGCAGACAGCAGAAGCAGTCATGTATGTCTAGGAGCCCTGGTCTTCAGGGAACAGAGACTGGTGAAGCAGTGACAGAGAAAGGGAAAGAGCAATGGAGCAAAGAGGAATGTCAGCAGGGGAAGGCTGGGAAAGCGAGATCCGAATGCTCAGCAGGGGATGGGAACACGAGTCCAGACAGTCCAGAGTATCCCATGCTCTGGCATCCTCCTGGGATTCCAGCCCTGCACCACACAGTCCCTGCTCTGACTCTCACCTGCTTTCAATGTTCAGGTCCCCAGGGGGGTCACCTAGCAACCAGGAGAACACATCCGGCTCAGACTTCATGGTCAGGATGAATGCAGAAGGAAAGAGATGGACAGCAGGAAACAATCTCTGATGTAGGGGGCCTGGGTACCTAAAGTGGCCCAGGTTGGGAGAGGGTTCCTCCAACTACTCTCAGAGTGACATTTCCAGAGAACAAGGATAAGGGCTAAGGAAGGCCAGTCAAGCGCTAGCAAGTTCACCACCTCACCCCCGAAGTGCAGTATTCTATGCACAGCAATGGCAGCAATCCAGCCACTTGTGGCCACAGACGATGCCCCAGGAGACAGCAGGGGGCAAGTTCTCCAACTTCGAGGCTTGTGCTCCTCACCTGGATTCTTTTGGTGGTGGGAAGGAGAGCGGCACAGCTTTGATGGTCCTATCTGCTGTGTCTTGGTGACATCCCAAGGTGGGGTCAGCACTCAGTGCTCTTAAGAGATCAGAGAATTTCTTATGGATCTTACAATCCAAAATCAAACCACATCTAGTATAAAACAACATATCAGAAAAACTACTGTAGCCCCACACTGTTTCTTAGTGATTATGACACTTGGTTGTTTATAGTCAGTCACAAGGTCTGTATTCCACAGGGATTTGACAAACATAACCTCATATACTCTTCCACATTCATAGCCACCCTCTTGCACACTCATGCTCCCCTGGGTTGCACACTTGGGGAACCAGGTAGAGAGATACTCTGTAGGTGCTGCAGACAGGGGTGGGGCTCTGTACTGCTGGGTCAAATCTGGGTTTGCTCCTGGAGCTTGGTGCTAGCAGTGGCAGAATTCTTCGAGTTCCAGAAGCTCCAGAGCTGGCTGTCCCCAGGCAATTCCTGGACCCAGGCAGGGGTCTTCATAGTGGTCTCAAAACTCCCATGATTCCAGCCACCTTAGTCCTGCCATTGGACTTGTGGGGTCCTGGGCCAGAGGACCAACCATCCCATAAGCCAGGGGGTGAAAGAGGTAGAAGCTGTAGAAAGAACCAAGGGAGGCAGTGGGCACTCCAGTGCTGCAGCTGAGTGCCCATCAGACGGCCCCCACCCCGAAGCCCTCTTCTCTGTCAGTGTCTTGGCTGTCTGAGCACACCAAATGGGCTGAGCATACCACGTGGGCAGAGCACAACATGTGGGCACACTCTGGTCCAAGAGCTTTGGAGATGCTGCCTGAATGGCAAGGAAGGAAAGGGCTTCTCCTAATACGCCTAGGAGAAGGACCTGTCTAGGGGTCTGGCCTTGGGCTGAATGGCCCAGCGTGTTTGTGAACGTGCAAATTTAACCCTCTTAGGGAGGCACATAGTGGCAGATCACAGGCCCCACCACAAGAAGCTACAACTCTGAACAGGATCTGCGAGCACTGCCAGAGATAGGGAGGGGGCTGGAGATGAGGGGCACAGACTTCAAACAACTATCTTCCTCCAGCCATTCTGAGTATTCCACCTATACCTCTCTATTCCCACTCCTCCCTCCTACTCTCACCCCACTCAACCATTCCAATAGGGAGCCACTGTGACTGTGAAGGGGTAGGCTTCCAGGTAGGCCTGCCCAGGCAAAGCTGAGAACGTGGGAGAGAAGATTCAAAGTGATCCTCCTGCCTCTTCTACCTGGCTCCTGATTACAAATTAGGGTCACCTGGGGGGCCTTGAAAATCGTGACTGAGTCCCACTCTGGCCCAACTGAATTAGAACCTCTATGGATGGTGCCCAGGTACTGGGACATCTTAAAAGCTGCTCAAATGTGTCTGAGGCTGAAGCACCAGTGAGCCCCTGCTGGAGGGCCATCGAGGGGATGCACACCTGTAGGCAGTTCCCAGGAGCAGGCTCAGGATTCCCACTGCATGTACACCCCTGGCCAGGGAAGAGGAGGTCAGGGCCCCAGCACAGAGCCGCAGGAGCGTGTCCCACAGAATACCTGATGGACAGAAGACATACCTAGTACCAGCCTGTCAGACAATTCCAGGGGCTACAGCAGGAAGGAGCCAACCCACATCAAGAAGCAGATTCACTCTCAGCCCTGCTCCTTCTTCCTCCTCTCCCACCCTGTCTACCTCCTGTTTTCTCCCCCATGTGCAGGTGGGCAGGGCTGACCTGTCAACATGCTGGAGAAGAGCATAGCTGGGAAGTAGTGGTGGAAGTAGAGGATCCGGCCCATCAGGAAAAACGGGAAGTAATGCAGCATCCAGCCAAGCAGCACCTGGCCACCTCCTTGCAGCAGGACCCGGGTCAGTCCTGAGCCAAAAAGCAGCACACCTCAGTGAGAAAGCAGGGAGGCCAGAGCCCAGCTTTCAGTCTAGCTCTGCCCCTTCCTTGCCGTGGGCAGTCCTTCCTTCCCTTGTGGGGACCACCTCAAACAACCTCAGGACAACTGGCAGAAAAGGAGCAACTGGGTCTCTCAAGAGTCTTGGTCACTTCTCAGTCTGTAAAAGTCTCAGCACCATGGTAGGGGCACCACATACCAGCCTAGGGCAGCTGCCTGGGTAGGAGGCAGCCAAACTCTAAAGAAACCATAACCCCACACCCCTACCAATAGGGGCTCTTCGTCTCCCATCCCTGCTGCCACAGACTTCCACCATGCAGCTGGGCAGAGGTGAAGTCAGGAGAGGATGGAGGGAGAGGAGGGTGTGTCTGGTACTCTGACTGCTCACACACAGAGCTGCATGGGCAAAAAGGGCCTGTACGGAGCTCTCAGTTGCCGTGGTCCATGCCTGGAAGCTAAAGAAACTAGGAGCACCACCAGAATGGAAACCACTGCAATCCCTAGAGGCAGGAGGGACAGTGAAGCTGGGTGTGGTGGCACACGCCTGTAATGCCAGCACTCCAGGAGGCTGACACAGAAGGATCCATGAGTTTGAGGCCAGCATGGGATACACAGTGAGACCCTGTCTCAGAAAAAAAAAAGAAAAAAAAGAAAAAAGAGAAAGGAAAGGGAGGAAAAGGAAAAGGAAAAGAAAAGAAGGGACAGTGAAACAAGATAGGCTGTTCTGCCTATAGCACCAGGGTAAAAGTGAAGGCTCTGAAGTCAGAGTACTTGGGTTCAAACCTCATCACTATCACTAGCTACAGGTCCTAGGACAAGTTCTTTAATTTCATTGTGCCTCTGTTTCCTAATCCACACAGTGCAGTAATAGTCCTTTCCTCCATTAGGCTGCTCAGAGTGTGGAAAGTGTGGCAAACAGCAACGAGTGTCTGGTGACTGGTGTTGAAAGACAAAGAAGAGTAGTGTGGGGTAGGGAAAGCAAGGGGTGCCCCACTGCAGGCAGAGACTCAGAGCACTGGCTCCCCAGCTGCTAGGCTGGGCAGGGAAAGTGCAGGGAACCTGACCTTCCACCTCTGTGGGCAGCTTTGCGCCTCTCTGCATGGCGATGGCAGCGATGCTTCCTGAGAGGAGGTAGAGAGCAATGCTCACCAGATTCAACCACCAAACCACCTGCATGGAGATGTGAACAGGAAGATGAGAGAAAAGCAGCAGCTCGCCCTAGACCAGTGCTTCTGGGCTGAACCAGACTGCAACACTCACCGGGTTGCCGAGCAGATAGACTCGGAAGTCTGTGCCATTGGCCCCTGAGAAGCGCAGGCCCTGTGGAGCAGAGGACACCCTGAGGATCCTGTGCCTAGCTCATCCTCAAATGAGAGGAAGACCAGACAGCTTTCACGGAGAGGTAGGCCTGGACAGGAGGCTCAGAATGTGCAAATTCTCCATGCACTTTCTGGGAAGATGGAGTTGGCATCAGGGTAGGAAACAGAGCCCGATCTCTGACTAGCCCATCCCAGGTGAGGCCTCCCCCTGTAGCCCAACCACCTCTGTCCCAATGATCTCCTTCTTCACTCCATTTTCTGGAAGGTGCTCTAGCCGCTGGTCCTACCTGGTAGTTGATAGGCCAGTGCCAGGGTTTGGATGTGAAGTCATTGTCCTTGGGCTTAAGGCCATTATTCCCCTGTAAGAAGGTGGCGAAGAAAAGCTAATCAAGATAGAGCTAGAGGCCTGACAGACATGAGGCTCAGGCATCTCCGTTATCCAGACAAGTGTCAAGAGGAAACACCCTACTCTCTCGGCAAAGTGCAGGGAAGAGTCAAGTGCTCCTGCATAGCTATTGTTTATTAGCCTACAATAACTGCTTTACTTCTCCCAAATACAAGGCTTCACTTCCCATCAGTCCATTCAGACCATTTCCGCTGGAGAGAAAGAAGACAAAGAGGAATGAAGGACTTGTGTGCACTAGGCACAGAACACACATTCAGAGGGTGGGTGATATAAAATCAGAGCTTCTTTATCTAATTTCAAACAGAAAAACTGGGCTGGGCATGGTGGCGCATGCCTGTAATTCTAGCACTTGGGAGGCTGAAGCAGGAGGATTGTTGTGAGTTCAAGGCCAGCCTGGGCTACACAATGAGTTCAAGGCCATCCTGGGCTACATAGCAAGACCCTGCCTCAAATAAAGCAAAAACAAAAAAACCCCATAAAAACCAAAACCAAATAGAAAAACAGACTCTGAGGAGTATCTTTACTTGGAAAAGGTTATCTTAGCCTGGTGTTCCTAAACTGTTTTTTTTTTGTTTGTTTGTTTGTTTGTTTGTTTTTCTATTATTGCCTCCCTTCTGCCAAAAGCCTTTTTAGATATTTTCTCCAATGGGTTGGGGATATAGCTCAGAGGCACAAGTGCCTGCCTGGTAAGCACAAGGTCCTGGGTTTGATTCCTGGTACCTTCTGCCAAAAAAAAAGCCTTCCATGTCATTTTAATACCATGGCCACACTACCTATCTCCTTATGTACCATAGGAGACCTGTGCTTTACAAAGAAAAATGTAAAGTTTTAAAATTTTTGTTTTTACCCTCCAAGAATCCATTTCATATACTTGGAGAGAAGTACCAAATGCAATCACTCTAAATGTAACCCTTTAACCTGAAAAACCTGAACTCAGTCCTTCTCATCCAGCAGCCAATACTATCCAATAACTCGTCTTACCATGGCAAAAACAGGATTCTGATGAACAAGAGGAACAGGCTCAGGGTCCCAGATACCAGCTGTCAGGACTGGGCCAGCTATCAGCACAAACTGGGGGAAGCAGCCCCATGAGAGGCACCAGGCTGGATCAGTGAGGGTTTCCAAGCCTTGCCACTACTGACATTTGGGCCTGGACAAGGTTGTCATAGGGCTGTCCTGTGTAGTGTACGTTTAACATCCCTGGTCACTACTCACTGGATACCAGTGGCACCCCCATGCCCCATTCCTCAGTTCTGCCAGTCAAAACGTCCTCCAGACATCGTGAGATGTTCCCTGGGAGGCAAAATTGCCCTCAACTGAGAAGCAAAATCCAAAAGGTCCAGTTCAATGAACTGCCATCTGGTGCCTTACTAACCCAACTCTTTGAGGATTTGGGAACAGATGCCAACTTTCACATGATTGGGTTGCTCTGATGGGGTCAAAATTCCTACAGGGGAAGAGTGCTGTCACTTTCTCCATTCAGGTTCCAGCTAGCGGAAGACACAGACACACACACACACACACCCTCACTCAAGTTCCTATAGTCTAGGTCACTATTTTGGTCTCTCTCCCTTCCTTGAATAAGAGAGTGCTTTTACATCCCTTTTCTTCTTTCTCTGTCTCTTAGATAATGAAAGAAGGAAATGAAACTCTTTAGACTTACTTCTTGGTCTTAAAATTCTGCCCAGACCCAAACTGATATTCTAACTGACAGGCACATATTCAAAAGAGCCACGTTATCAGGCCACAGTGACAGCTACAAGCACAGAGTCAGAGAGGAAGTGACCCAGAGATTGCTTAATGTCAACTCATCACCTCCCAATGTGCAAAAATGACAAAAACTTGAATTTTTAAAGTTTAATCGGTGAAGTAAGTTGACTGTATTTACGGAATATTGCTTACATAATCACTTTCAGGAAAGTGCACTTGATAGCGGCTCACAGGGCAAAGTAACAACTGCTATGCTTCTGTGTAACCCTGTGGGCGGCTGCTATCACCCATCTGCCTTGAGACCCAGGGTCCCTGAGGTACTCAGGTTTCCCTAGGCCAGAGCAAGGGGTTCGCCCCAAAGCATCAGAACTGTAGTAAGATTTGCTCAGTTTGCAGGTGGAAACTTAAACTACTGGGTGGAATTTCCTCAATCTGAAGATTTCCTCTCACTTTTCCCTAAACCTTTGATGCTACAAACGCTGTCAGCTACTAGTGACAGCATTCAAACACTGAGTCTGAGGAAATAAGCAAGAATCAACCATGCCCCATCACTGGTTTCTGTCCCAGAATATGAGTGAGCTCATGGCTGGGTTGGCAGATAAACAACACACTCAAATTAGCTTGCTGTCCTACTTGATCCTGAGTTCACATGCTGGAATGATCTTATGTCTTTAACCAAGACACTAAGAGTTTCAGGGGCTCTGCCACTCAAAACAGATGTGAAAAACCACTTAGAGGCAAAGCGGCGTCATTGTAACTGGCACTGGCACTGAAAGCCTATTAGCCTAGCTCCAAAGTCTGGAACCACATTTCACACATTGTGCGGCCCTAGACAATTCCTTAATCCTTCTGTGCCTTAGTTCCCCTATCTATACACTGGGAATGACAATAATCACCACAGGATAAATACTGTGTATGTTAATATACGTACACATACACAGTGCTTAGAGTAGTGCCTAGCTACACAAATGTTCACTGGTATCATGGTTGTTACGAACCCCCACATTTTGTGATAAGGAAAATACCTATGAAAATCAAGTAAACCAGCAGATGAATACACTTGCAAGGTCCTCCACAAGGGGGCAGTGGATCTACACTACAGCTACTGATTTATGCTTCAAATCCGTGGCTGCCCAAAAGTGCTTAAGAGAAGCCACACAGTAAGAGGTGACAGTACCCGAATCATGACCATGTGGGACTCCAGCAAGATCTCAGGAAAACTGGGCTGCAACACATCCAGACTGATGTTTGGCACTAGGGAAAAGACAAAACAAAAACAAGAGAGCCTTTGTCACACTTTATCTCTTCAGAGTCTGTCCTCTCCCATGACAGTCCAAGTGGAGTTTCCCTGACAAGGTGATGAGTAGGTGACAGTGTCGGGGATCACTTAGTCAGCTGAGCACTCAGGGGTATTCTGAGAAACACAACAGAAACAGGTAATAACCTCCCGGTGGTGCACCATCCAGGCACCATCACTCTTTGGCACTGGCTCAGATGCTGGCCACAAGGTGCATGAGGACAAGGACCAAGTCTTTCACTCACCAACATGTCCACAGGATTCACATAGTTCCTAGTGGACTCAGTAAGGAGTTAGTTAATTAGCTGGTTTGGCTAGATTAGGTAGTAAGAAGAATGAAATGGAAAGTACAGACAGAAGGAGAAATCAAGTGTAAATGAATGAATCCAAAGACATAGTGGGGTGAGCTGACACTAAAGTGGAAACATCTAATGCAGCCTGGAAGCAGAGGTGTGGGCTGAGGTCAGAGCTGTGGCCGCAGCCTTTGGTTCACGGAATGGCTGGATGTTGGGGAGGAGGAGTTCAGCAGAAGCATGGCAGAGACCAGATGCACTAGGTCTGGAGGGCATGGAGGTGCCCATGGTGCAGTGACAGGAGAGCTCAGAGGGAGACAAGATAGAGACAGATGAAACAAATGGACCTGAAGGAGGTTATTGGTCATTCCAGAGAGAGAAACTGATGCAGGCAATGGATGAGAAGAAAAAGGAGCTATGAGAGTAGGTACAAACTCTTACAGGTGTAAAAAAGAAAGGGCAATAAGGTGAAATGGTAGCATTCTGTAAAGGTTTATTTTTCTAAGGGAAGAGTTGTTTATAAATGCTTCCCTTCAGAGCCAGCCCTCACTCACATTTGGGATTGATATGGTCCTCCACATTCCAGATGGAGTTGAGTGTTTGTTTCAGGTATGGAGTACAAGTAACTTCCAACTGCTCCCAGCCCCTGTGAAAATTAGTCACAAATGTCCCTCAGACTTGAATCCCCAGACACACACATTGCAAAAACAGCACTGTCTACTGCTCTTCAATCTGTGGAACCCATGTTTTTAAATGAGTGGTCACTGTTGCTTCAACCCCAGTTTTTCATATTCCACAGCTATTCTAGGACTGGTCTAGCCTACACTCTTCCCATTTTACAGAGACAAAAACCAAGAGAGTAATTACCACAAGCCAGAAGTACAAACACACAACTGTCAGAACACATAAACTCGAAAATGCCCCTGGAGTTCTCTGCTTCATAATATACCTGATATCTTTTTCTTCTTCAACCAAGAAAAAGCAAACATAAGGCACACTGACTACTGGAAATCAGAAGTCTCTGGAATATCTCTTGTAGCATGAAAAGGAAAGTGCAAGCTCCATGAGAATATCAGAACCCCAGAAACTTACCACTTGGGCAAAATTTTTCCTGAGGAACCAAGGACACAACCTGTGACCAGATGGATGAGGCGAATTCGACTTCTTAGCACTTTGATCCGGTTCCCAAATTTTCTGTTTACAACCTCAATCCGCCAGAAATCATTTGAGTCTCCTGTCCCATTCTGCCACATAAACCAAGGAAAGAACACACAGTGAGATGATGTTACAGAAAAGGTGTCAAAAGGGAATGATCACCCTCTCACATGCTACCACATTACAAAGATCACGTACCAAATCAGCCCCAGTGACTGAGATGGGAAAGGGAGCAAGGCCATAGAAAAGCCCCAAGTGACACGGCCTTGGCACTCCCCGTTTGCAACCAAATAAAGGAGTAGAATTCTTGGAACCAGAAGTCTAATTTTCTGCTTCACAGAACTACAATTTGAGCAATATAGATGTCTTTGCCCCAAATCAAACTGGAGACCTCACTCTGCGCCAACAGCAGCACATCTGGGCCATTTGCATCCATTATCTTGGCCATCTGGGCACTCACTCATCTAAGCCAGAAAGGTCTGACCTGGACACTGCACCTTGGAGATGCAGATAGTTGTGTCTCACCCTCTGCAAGAGCTGCCCAGGGAAATAGATGTTCAGCGTCTCGGCTCTGCTACAGTGTAGGATGAACAAGTGGAAGGAGGGGTAGGAAACCCATCTCAAAGGACCCAGATTCTACTGAAGCACCAATGGCCTTGGAAGGGACTGTAACTAAGCCACATAGTCTTCCATTAGCTGTTTTTGTCTTTAATTATTCCCAAACTGTGAGTACTCACAGAACCTTTTACATTTTTTTGGTGGAGGTGTACTGTAGATTGAACCTAAGGCCTTTGATTTGGGCTACATCCCTGGACCTTGTATTTATTAATTTATTTTTATTTTGAGACAAGATCTCACTAAGTTGCCCTGGGTAGGCTCAAGCTTGTGATCTCCCTGCCTCAGCCTCCCAAAGTACTGTGATTATAGGCATGCACCACCACACCAAGTCCAAATTTTATTCTATCAAGTGCATTTTCCTGAGATAGTGAGAAACAAAAGCTATGTTGACAACCCATTGTTCACAGGGAAGAGATCCTTAAAAACAAAGCCAATGAAAATTTGGGCTTGGGCAAAAGATAAACTCATGTGGGGCCATAGTGTAGGTCTTTGGCTTCTGTGTCCAATATGATTTTAAGAGACAAAAACATTATTCATATTTGACTTTTATTAGCTATTGGAATATGTAAATGACATGGTTGTTATTTGAGGACAGAGATGAAGACAAACAGACTTCGCAGGCTGCTTTTCTCATAGCAAACTTAGCCAAAAAATTCTCAAATGTTAAGACCATGCAAAGCCTTTAATCCTTGGGAGCATCCCAGAACCCTGGGAAGGTTATGTCCAGCCACATGGCTCTGAGTCAAACCCCTCAACATTTATAGCCTGCTTGTGCCAGGCATTCACTCACTATGCCGTAGCCGGTGACCTGAAAATGTTTCCGGGTCAGGGGGGCCTCATGGTAATGACTGTGCAAGTTCCGAGAAGTCCTAGAAGTTGGAGGAGAGAAGAGCTGTTATCTGAAGAAAAGAGACACACAATGTTTCTCCTTTTAACAAGAACATGCAGAACCATCTGATAGGGTTAGGATATTTCGAATGAGAACTATTAATTCCAACACATGAGGAACTTATTGCCTATTCAGTCACAAGAAATATGCAGAGAACTGATGTTATGGTTGTGCCTGGATGTCCTCCAAAAGCCTCGTGCCATAATGGATCAGGCTTCCAGGGTTTGTGGTTGATTCCTCATCTAATGCTGGAATCATGGGTGTGAGTACTACACCCAGCCTAGGGTGGGTATTAGCATACAATATAAGGGGTGGAAAGAGGTTTGCTTTCCTCTCTTGTTGCTTTTGCTGTCTTCACCCGCCATGAGCTGTTGACCTCTGCCATGCTGCCCTGCCATGGAGCTAGCCGATTATGGACTGAAGCATCTACAGACTGAGCTAAATAAACCTTTCCCCTTTTAACTTTGGGTGTTGGGTACTTTGTCTCAGCAATAAGAGAAGTTAACTAAGACAACTGGAGAAGAAAAAAGACTCTTGATTGAGGACAGATGGTGGGAGCACCAGACTACATACTCAGGGGTTTTGGGATGGGGGTAACTCTCATACATTTGGTGGCTCTGAAACACTTAGCTTGCTCGACTTATGAGAAAGGTCTATGAAGAACAAAACTAACACTGGTAATCTACACGTGTCTGTGGTAGATACCCACCCCCATTTTACTCTTTTACTCCCATTACCATTTTTTTAAAGCGAGGATTTGTAGGGAATGAAGGGCATTTAATTTTGCTTTCATTTATTAAATACTTTTTGGTTTTAGTTTTTAAGATAAGATCTTGCTACGTAGTTCACCCTCGAACTCATGGCAATCCTCCTGAGTGCTGGGATTATGGGCGTGCATCATGATGCCTGGTCATTTATTTAATATTTTATAACAACTCTTTTATTCATATGTAGTATGTAAATGTTTATTATAAATTTTTTTATTTGCAAAACTAAACTTACAATAAATTTTAATTAACAATAAAAAGAAATGTTTAATAATAAACATTTAAAGTGCCCAAAATCCAAATGATTATCACTACACTCCCTCTCTCTCTACATATATATATACATATATGTGTGTGTATGTGTCTGTATGTATATGTAAATAAATCCTTGATTTCCCTGGTTTTTAAAAAATTTTTATCTGACAATTCTAGTGTATGAACTTTTTTTAAAATATGGAACTCTTCCTGGCATTTTCAGTCATTTCAGTGAGAATGCTAGTGAAATAAACCAGTTTTAAACAGATGCTTATAATTTCTCAAGGCAGCCACTTAAATGGCATAAAATTTTACCTTTTTTTCTAGGAAAAGAGAAACTAAAAGGAACCCTCAAAGGTCAAAGCCCCCAAGGCCAAGACAAGCAGGCAAAGGGTTGCTTGTTTAGTTCATCACCTTCATAACACAGCTCTCTCATCCCAGCACACTTCTATTACCACAGCCTCAGGCAAGACTTCTGTATACTTTATTTCTTATAAGAACTCTCCACCCTTGGTGCCCATATCACTATTATGCAAACAGCACATTCACTTACTCTTTGTGTTCTAGTCGAATGATGTCTCCATGTCTCACAAACTCCACTGGGAATGAAGGGTCTAGAGGATCTGCTGAGAACAAGCATCAACACCAAAACCATTCACTTACTAGGCTAGTATCAACGTGAGGGCCTACTGGAAACAGCTACAGTACCAACACGTGGTATGTGCTAGAGGCACCAACACAGTGTTGTGGGATCGATGAGTAAAGGCCCCAATCACTTTAGAGGATTAGAGAAGGGGTCCCAGACATAATGCTTGAAAAGACTCTGCAAGGGAGGACAGGATTTTTTCAGGTGAACTAGAGGGGAAAAGGCACAGAGGTATGAAAGAACAAAACTCATCGGACCAATACAGATGGTGTCATAGTTAAGGAATGCAAGCAGGGAGGGAGTGGGAGCAGATGAGGGTATGAACGTGCATGTTCCAGGCTGAGCAATGTGGCCTTTACTTGACAGGCACTGAAGCCTCCATAAGAAATTAAACTGGGGCTGGGCACGGTGGCACATTCCTGTAGTTCCAGCACTTAGGAGGTGGAAGCAGGAATAGCACCAGGAGTTCAAGGCCACCCTGAACTACATACTGAATTTAAGCCTAGCCTGAACTACAAAGTAAAACCCTCTCTCTCTCTCAAAAAAAAAAAAAAAAAAAAAACTTAAGGTGGGAAGCAAAACAATAAAATTTCCCTTGCAAACCACTGTCCCAAACAGTGAAATACCAACACTGCATAAACAGATTAAGGTCAAGAAAAAAATTTGCCAATGCAAATCACTGGCTCCAGGGAGAATCAGAGAACTGCACAGATGTCCATTGCTATACTACCTTTTAAGATCTCTTAAGGTTAATTACCGAGAGGACAAATCAAGAAGTCAATGGAGAGGGAAGTTTTACTTCATATGGATTGGGGGAGGGGAAATTACAGCCATTAAGACAAAAACCTTAGTTTATAAAGTTTCCAGAAAACCCTTAGTTGCTTAACAGTAAAATAACAAACCAGGAATGTTCAAAGTTTGGTGTTCAAGCCCTCTGAAGTAAAACTACAACTGTTCTTCCCTCCTAAATCTTCATCGTAATGAATGACTTATGCTTAGCTGCTGCATCAAAACACTATCAGTACTACTATCTTAAAGGTGTAAGACCAGACTCTGCCCAATGGCACCACAACTTATATTACCAACGAATTACACAGAATGCCAAGACACTGACTGTATATGTCATGATTCTGACCTGACAAAGCAGGAGAGGAGGTGGGACAGGAAAAAGAACATGAATTTAGATGGGAAGCTGCCCACTTCACAAAGGCCCAGGAACAGATGGCTGGGGACAGACTAAGACAGGTGATATTCAGTGAAGAGTCACAGGGAGTGCCGAGGATGTAAGACATGGGCAGTGGTGACGGGCTCAGACAGGGAGAGGAAGGTGCCCTCCATTCTCAAGTGCAGCAGAAGGCACAGCCTGCAGGTAGCACCTGACCAAAGTCAGAAAGACTCAGATATAGCTCTGGCTCTAGTCCAAAAGCTTGGAAAGTCTGACAGATGTTTGTCAGACCAGTTAGGGACAGATCAGCAGGCTGTGAGTATGTCCCAGGCACCAACCTAGACAAGCCCAGTTACAGGGCTGGGCCTCTGACACTGAAGTGATTGCCCAAGTCCAGGGATGAGCCACAGACAGCCCTCTTGTACTGTCAAGACCACATTTTGGGTTCTGCAAGGCTAGGGGTGCTCTACAAGAGAAATGAGAGCAATCATCAGGTACCCTTGCTTGGGGCTACTCACCAGCCCCTGGTGCTCAAGTAACCTTTTCCTGGATGAAGTCTGAGCACTGTTCTCTGGCTTCAAAATGGCACTGCAGAGTAAGATCTTACCTGTTTTACCCATTGCTTAACCCCTATGCCTATGCCTGTGCCTATGACTGTGCCTGAAACACAGTAGGTGCTCGATAACTGTTGAGAGGATAACTCAGACCAGTAAAGACACTATCAAAGACACTCAGGAAAGCCTATCTCAGTATCATTCTTTTGGCAGCATGAGAAACGTTGGAGTTCAGAGTAAGTAATAAAATAAGAAGTGGCAGTTCCTGACCATATTACCTGAGTTTGTATTATGTTTCTTGATGATCCACAGGTTGTTGTAGTCCTTGTGCAAATAGGTGGTGACCTGGGGGAGGATGGAGGCAGAGGGCAGAGGAGGTGGGAGGGAGAATAAACTCATCACTCTCAGCACAGCTGGCTAAGCACAACCCCCAGTAAACCAACACTGCTGAACCTCTTTCAGAATCCCCAGCCACCAACCCAAGGACTCACATTTCCCAAAGGGGCTCAGAAGTAGCATTGCTGAGTGAGATTTCACTTTCTTTCCAGATTGAGAGGCCCTCTCCATCGTTCAAGAATCCTTTTGATTTGGTTTTGGTTTTTATTTTTGTACCTTATTAAAGTTCCAGGCTTCTAGAGGTAGGAACTATGACACCTTGTATGACAGTCTGAAGTGCATAGAGGAGATACAGTGCATTTCAAAAATTAATACCATGGCCAGGCATGGTGGTGCACACCTGTAATCCTAGCCCTCAGGAGGCTGAGGCAGGAGGATTGCTTCAAGTTCAAGGCCAGCCTGGGCTACAAAGAACTACACAGTGAAACCCCATCTCAAAAAGGAAAGAAAAAAATTAAGACCATGCCTCAAAATTTCCAAATGAAAATTTCATAATATATTTTCAATAATGTGGCTAAGTGAAACTAATGCTGCAATTAATCTAACATCAAAAATCTGGAAGCAGTTTAAATCTTTTTTAATAGAGAAATAGTTAATATGATACTACATCCACCAGATATATTATTATACAGCCACTAAAAATGTTTCAGAGCATTTTTAGCAGCCGAAGAAAAGGTTCCTGAAATATTTTTTGTTTTTTTTTTTTTTGGTTTTTGGTTTTTGGTTTTTCTCCAGTACCGGGAATCAAACTCACGACCTTGCACTTGCCAGGCAGGCACTGTGCTGCTGAGCTAAATTCCCAGCCCCCTCCTGAAATGTTGATGGTGAAAATGAATACTATTGATGACCAGAAGGTGCTTTTGTTCCTCCAACATTACTCACAAGGAAACAGGTTAAGTCATTTGCTCAAAGCTACACAGCTTATGTGTTGGGAAGACAGGATTCAAACCAGCTAATGCCAATGTTACTAAGATATAATTATGCCCGTCGGGTAAACAAGTATAGAAATACCTGGAACAACTGAAATACAGGAACAACTGAAATACATTCTTTTACAGTGTGAGTTTTCATAACCCAACTGGATACAACATAACCAGTTTGCTTGCAGAGATTTTTGCATGACAGTTTATTAAAATAATTATTTTGCATGTTTTATGGCTTCTTTGAGCAGCATTTGCTTTGTTTCTCAGAACAAATTAATTGTTAAGGTTCTGTGGGGCTGTATGGTGGGAAAGTGCTTTTTGGTTACTTTTACAAGAGCCACTACTATTAAAATTCCTACAAGAAAAATTATTTCTTTATTGTGAGTATATCTCCTGGACCCTTTTCCCACCGAAAACATTTGTTTCTATAACGGAGTTTGTAATAACATGAGGTTTCCTAGGAGTACAGGATCTAATTATAGCAGAATGCTGTACATATTTGGTTAAAACAGGGATTATATATAGCTTTTGTTTCTTTTTTATGATTTTCCATATCTTAAAATTTTACTTTATAAATGTTATGCTTTAAAAACATTTAATGTGAGCCAGAGTAAACCTTTTTTTTTTTTTTTTCCCCCGGTACCAGAAATCAAACTCATGACCTCACACTTGCCAGGCAGGCACTGTGCCACTGAGCTAAATCCCCAGCCCCCAAAGTAAACCTTTCTTTAAAAAAAAATTTAATATTGAGACCTAGAGATAGTAACATGACATTAAACTGCAGGGCAATGAAAATGACTCCTTGGTCCACTCTCCTCAATTTGCAGAAAAGCAAAGTGGTTGAGAAAGGCCAAATGATTTAGCAAAGACATTTCTGTCCCTTGACCCAATACGTTCTCTACAACACCATCAACTTCACACCTGCACATGAGTTCCAAGTGCAGAAACAAGCTTAATTAGTGTCTTTTAGAACCTGGCCTTTTAAAAACTTTGCATAGGTCTTCCTGGCCACCACACCTGTAACTTTATTATTTCTACATGATACCTGAAGCAAGATATCACTGTGGAATAGTTAGCTGTGGTTTTCTGGCTGTGTGATAAAACCATCTGGAGAGCCAAAACTAAAACAAAAATTCACAATCCATGGGCCTCACCCTAGATCATTCAATCACAATCTCGGTGGTGGAGCGCAGGTGCCAGAATGTTATAAAAGTTCTCCAGGTGATTATAAAGTGCAGCCAGAGCTGAGAATCGCTTGGCCAGAGACATGTAGAGCATCAAGGAGGAGACGCTGATACTCAAGTCCAGTATCTTGGGTCAACACTCCAGTCACCAAAAAAGGAAATGATATAAACTACTTGAACAGCAGAACTTCTTGCAAAGTGACAACACTGGTCATTTTGTAGGAAGAGAAATTTGATGTGCAAGTCTCTCAGTAACAGTTCTACAACCGCCACCTCCTCACCTCCCTTTTGCTCCACTGCACCTGACTTCTCCTTCTCACTGTTCCACAAACCTCTCCTTGTCAGTCACAGGCCTACTATGCACTCAGGGCCCCTCTCAGGTCTCATCCTCTGAGGACTCCATTGCACTGCAAGTGCTAACCATCTCCTTCCAGAGACCCCTGCTGCCCTTACACTCTCTTCCACTGCTCCTCTAATTTGCTCCTTTGTTCCTGCCTCTTCTGGTTCCACCAATTACCTTCAGACACTGCCTTGTATGTGTACCCAGGGTTCCCTCACAGGCCCTTGTGCACCTGCACAGCCTTTTTGCACAAGGCCACTCCTCCCTTTGTGAGCTACACCCACATGCTATATACTCTTATCTCTCTCCTGAGACAAGCTCCAGACCTTAACTAAACACAACCTAACTCTCCCATCTCCAAAGCTATTATTCCTCCTCCATTTCTGTATGGTGAAACAGCATTACGATGTTGATGTATCTTGACATCCAAACTACACTCATGGGTGCAGATCTTCCTGCCACTGATCTGTTACGTGGCCCTGCCATTATACCTGCGAAGTGTTTCCTGAATCAATTCTTTCCTCTATCCTCACAAACTCTGCCTTCATTTCCTATCCTTTGTCATAATTACTGCCTACTAACTAGGCTTGCAATCTGTTTCATTCCCACTGAGTTACCTTTCTGAATCTAACCATTCTTGCCATCACTTAATAACTTTCATGCCTTCCCAGTATCTTCTATAACACAGGTCTCTCCCCAGCCTGGCCCCACCAACTCTCCACCAACCTGCTTGTCCCTTTTCAGGCACCATCTACCACAACCAAAACCAACACTCCCTAACATGAACATGCGCCACTCCTCATTCAGTCAATACTTGTGGCTAACCCTCACATCTGTACTTTGCATATATTATCTCATTCAACCCTCACAATCACCTAGAAAATGGTACTATTTATTTCCCCTAATGATGAGAATATCACATAGACAGATAAAGCAATTTGCCCAAAGTCATACTCTGTATGGAACTAGGATTCAAATGCAGGTGATCTAGTCTGATTCTCAAATCATTGTTCATAATTACTATACTATACACCTTACCAACTCCATGCCACGCATTTCAGCCTTCCAGAAGTGAGCAATTAAGTAGCAGAAAGGTAGCAGAAAGTAAACAATCACATTCCCTATGAATGTATAGGCATGGAGAGGTACAGAGAAAGCTCTCCTAAAAGGAGCACCTAACCCACTATCAGAAAGGGGGATCATGGTGACAGGGAAGAATTCATAAACTGAAGCTCAAGGAAGCTGGAGCTAACCAGAGGAAAGGAGAGAAACACGCAGGAACAAGAATGTTTCAAGTAAGGGAAACAGCACAAGTAAAGAAGGAGAAGCAAGAAAAAGAAGGCAGGTTTGGCCATGGCAAACAGTAATGCACAGAAAGCCCACCTACCTGCTGTTGACGGGCACCAATGCCCTCAGGGTAGAGGTGTCTATGGGAGTGCAGGTAGCCAATGGCCATCCGGAGGTTCTTCACTGTGATCACAGAGCCATAAGCCAAATCTAGAAGGGAGGAAGCAGACAGATGAGTGGCCACTGTGCCAGAGGTTGCCCTGCCTAGGAGAGACCTCCAAAGTCACAGGACTTGTGAGCCCTCTAAGGAACTCCACTGGGCACAAGACTGTCTGAAGCAGGAGATGCCTTCTCACTTCAATGGGACCAACTCAAGAGAGGGCTCCCCACCAAGTCTCGCACATCCCTCCTGTTCCAGTGCCTCCTGAGGACTTCAGAAAAAGCTGAGTGCTAACACTGTCATTATCAAAGCATATCTGTAAAAGATTAGGGACAGTCTGTCCCTCAGTCAAGGTCTGTCCATGTATACAATGGAATAAAAAGGAAGAACCATTTTGAGCTTTGTCCAGACTGTTCTCCAAGATATAATAATATAATGAACTGTTACAAGAGACTTTTCACTCTGCATCCCTTTCTGCTTTTGAATCTAGTACTATATGAAATAACTGTTTTCTAAGATGTTTTGGCTTTTTTTCTTTTTACTGTGAATTAAATTTTTAAAAATATGGGAAAACCACTTCTCCAAGAGCCTTTCCTCCTGCAGGCCTTGGTTACTAAGCAGCCTCTTTTCCTTGCGACCATCCCTCTTCTCTATCCCTGTGGTCTGGCTCCCCTGCCATTTACCACGGCACAGAAACAGGTCTCTTGCTCCACCAGTGATGCAGATCAACAGAATGCATCAGCTACACAGAAGACGGATCTGGAGGCAGAGGCGGCTGGCCTGAGGACTGTGAAGAGCCTTATTTAAATGCAAGACAGCTTCACACACTGACAAGAACAGGGCAATGAGCAAGTGCTCGAACAAAGGTGTGACACTGTGTGACATGGAGGGAGCCCAGGGAAGGATTGGACAAATCCCCTCTCAAAGAGCAAAAAGACAATGACTTAAGATGACAGTAAGCCGGGCCTTTTAAATAGCAAGTAGGAATTCATAAACTCTGAATTGTCAGTTCTCACACAGGCCAACATCTATAGCTGCACGCTGATGATCACTTCTGTCTCTTGAAATACTCTGTTCCTCCCTCTTGGCCCTACTGCTTCTCACAAACTGTTCATCTGCAGCCTGCTCCCCTCATTCCTCTTCCGCTGGCTCTCGCCAGTAACCTGACCTCAGCTATGCTCTTTCCTCTTTCTAGCCACTCCCACAGTATCAATTACCTTTCTGCTTGGCTTCTTTGAAAGCATCAGCCCAACCCTACTGGCTCCCTCTCTGCTATGTAACTCAGTATCTGCCCTTCTGAACCAAATTTTTCTCCTACTTTCCTAGCTCTCATTTCTTTCACCATCTTGGCGGGCCCACCATGCTCTCGTGTTGTTCAAAGTACTGGAGAGACAAAAATGAGTAGTAAGTGGGCCTTGCCACCATGCAGCAGTCACCCGCACCCAAGTCCTCTATGACATATTTCTTTCTTCCCTCCCATGATCCATCTCCCCAGCATATGCACTCATGTGCCTCACCTGTGTGGCTACCGTCACGAGGCCTAGCTGCACTCTCTGCAACTGCTTCCCAAGGGATGTCTTCTACTGCTGATCCTGTCCCCTCCCTAGCCATCCTACACGATGCCTGCAGAGATGTCATCACCCTGCTGCAGTCTTCCTGGCCTTCTGCCTGCTCAAAGACCTTCACCATGTTTCTGGTATCTCACCTGAACATCTCAAAACCCCATAATCTAGGCCCAAACTGACTTTTCAGACTTGTATTTCAGCGTCTTTCTGCATGTCACTTGTGCCTGCAGTTTTGCCCTGTCCTCAGCTTTAATCACAACATCCCTTCTGTTCATAACACCTCTTTTCCACCCTCTGCTTCCTGAAATCTACCCATCTTCCAGAGCCTGACTCCAAGGCAACCCACTGCATCTGATCCCTCCAACTACCCAGCAGGAGTGACCTCTCACACTCTGCTCTGTTCTCTTTCATGTGCTTAACACAAGTGGTCACACAGCATGGGGATCCTCTATACCAGACTCTACTGATTACTTTTCAAACAAGTTAGTGGATGGCCGTCTCAACACTGCGGTGGAAGCTGACCACTCACCCTAGTGGGCCCTGCTCTGTCACCAGATTCTCTCTGACTGGCCTTCTCACAGAGCTGGCTTTGGCAGCCACAAAGGAGAAGTTCTTCTGTGGGGTCAAAAAGCTTGCTGCTCATGATGTCTTCCTCTGCACTGATCTGACTCGCTCGTGAGATTACTTACCAAAATACTGGGTCTTTTTCCCGCTCTGCCATCTACATGCTAAAATAACTCGAGCGATCAGATCTTTCTCTTCTTATATAACTCACAGGAAATTCCCCTGCCACTCTGTGTGGAGGCCCAGAACACTCACGTTCGGGGATGGAAGCATTGTGAAGGTTGTTCCCTGAAAGCCGGGCTTGGAAGGCAGAACTGAAGAAACCATCACCAGGACCACTATGGGAAGATGACAGGGAGAAGAGAGTCAAGTTAATGGAGTAAAAATTGTGATTTCCCAGGAGCCTTCAGTTAATTTAAAAGAAGTAAAATCAGAAGGGCAGTGTGGTATCATGGGACAGAGTGGATGACAGAGTTGTAGAGAATGGGGTCCAAATCCCAACTCAGCCACTTACTAGGTGGGTGACTTGGGAACTACATCTAACCTTGTTTAGCCTCAATTCCTCACTTATACACTGGAGATTTAAAAAGAAAAAAAAAGAATTCACAAGTGGTTATGGCTAAAGGAGGTCATGTATACAAAATGCTGAACACAGTTCCTGACACTTTGCAGGTACTCATTAAGTTGGAGCTGTTGTGCTGGTGTTATAGTTATTATTATCCCCACTCCTGCCCCACCCTTTTATGGTGCCTTTCCTTACTAAGCTGAAAGGACTCAGCTTAGAGATAAAAGGCAGTTTTGTTTTGTTTTTTTTTAAAGGCAGTTTTAACTACCAAGAAATTCTCTTTCTCCAAGGTGAAGTGCTGGCTTCTCTAGATCTTGGAATACTCTGATGATAAAATGCAAGGAGAAAGAAACAGTTCCTGCCCGCTGCCTCCATTATCCAAGCCACAGACCCAGGAAATCACACGGCCCATCTATGGGCTCAGAAGTCAGGGAGACCAGACCAAGACAATGGGAAACTCTGGCTGTACCTTTTATTCAGCACCATAATGTGAACAGCAAAAATGGCCATGTAGAGCACCAGAGGCAGTACTATGAGGCACAGGACACGAGCCATCAGGTGTTTTCCCACAGTGACCTGCAAACAGAGGCCAGCATGGGGTAGTGGGCACATGGGGCCCTATTATTTCTTATAACTTCTATGGTGTTATATATGTTCTTATATATAAGTCCTAATCATGAAAATGGTGGGGCTGGGGATATAGCCCAGTGGCACAAGCGCCTGCATGGCAAGCGCAAGGTCCTGAGTTCAATTCCCGGTACCAAAAAAACAAACAACAACAAAAAACTACAACTACGAACATGGTTAACAGGAGAGAATATGTGGGAACCCTAAGTCTCTCTTTCTGTAACACCCCATATACACACACACACACACACACACACACACTCCCACTCAAGCACGGGCCAACCCTCTGCCACCTCTCCAGGCCCTGCACCCAGGTCCTGCACTGTCACACACCTTGAATAAGCTCAGGTGCTGCTCACGAGTGGCTGCCACATTCAGTAATACTGAACTTCCTGCACTTTCCCAGTGCCTCCCTGTACTGTGCCAGCCCTATCACCACGTGGCTAACTGCATCCTGCCTTACGTCAGGCCTGTCACAGCACTTACGAGCTGGACTATCATCGCCTGCTTACTCATTTCTCTCTCTTCTCCATGGACTCTATAAGGCAGGAATCACGTTTTATTCATCTGTGTATTCCCAGCATCTCAAACTTAGTGGATGGTCTCCATATATTTTCTGAATAAATGTGTTAGGGGTTTGGTTCAGAGGTGACAGAGAAGCACCATAGGCAAAGGAGTTGAAGCCTTTAGTCAGCCTAAGTATGAGTCCTAGACCTCCCTTTTACTACCTCTAGACATCTCAACTGCCTCATTGTAAGATCAAGGCAATAACTACCCACCTCACAGGATTGGTATGAGGGTTCAATGTGATAATGAAAGTAAAGCATTTAGCGTAGTGCCTGACACCAAATCAGTCCTTAGTAACTGATAATACAGTAAATCTTAAGGCTCTTACTGGCCTTCAAATATGAAGCCCATAGGTCAGGAAAAGGAAACTGAGTTCAGAAGTCATCCCATCCATTTTACCCAAAGTCTCATGAAGTCAGTGTCTGCCACACAACTGACATGAACCCAACTGAACAGATTCCCTGGGCTAGGTAGTTTACAGAACATTTAAAAGATAGTATGAAACAAATTCCAAAGAAGAATCCCAAAACTGTTACTTCTCTCCTTTTATACTTCTCCAGCCCTCTGCCAGGCAACTCCCTGATGCCCCGCTGTCTACACAGGGCTGCTAGTCCAGCCCAGCTAGGACCCAGGGCACAGCCTCTCCACCACTTGAGGTAGAGACTGAGAAAGGCTGCTGGTTCCTGCTGAGCAACACTGGGAAGCAAAGACATTTCAACCAGCACTTGGGTTCTCACCAGTGAAAGACTGAGGTCTCCAAACAGGTGCCACAGGTCTGCAATTGTGTTCAACCCCACTTGGAGGATGATAAAGAGGCCAACAAATTTGACCCCTAAAGCACCAGCAAGACTGATGCCAGTCAGGCTAAGCCAGAACCACCAGGGGGCAGAGAACGGCCTGGAAACAAACAAGACAAGAGTTCAGTGTGGCAACTAGACCAAACTCAAAAGCAAGAGCAGCAGTGGGACAGGGCAAGTCTTCTGACTCAGGAAGGCTGTGCTGTGCGCTGTGCCTTCGGGATTACTCACCTCAGGGGACAATGGTATGATTCCACAGAGCATGTGGTCTGTGAAACTCCTAAAGCTATAGGCCAACCGGTGTGAGAGAGAGTAGGACATTTCTCTGGGGAGAGGGTCCATGATTTTCCTGGCTAAGTACAGGGCATAAGGTATATGGCAGGCTCATTCTTCACTAGTGACCAATCAAGTAGAAGCAGAAAGAAAACCCTAAGAAGTCCACTCCATTATCCTTTGTGTCACCTCTGGACACAAATATCAAAGGCCAGTATTTATTTATTGAGTGCTTACTAGGTGTCAGGCATCATTCAAGTACTATACACATGCCAACTCTTCTAATCTTCACCACAACCCAATGAGGGAGGGCTTATTATTATCGTCTTTTTACACATGAGGAAACTGAGGTACACAGAGGTCATGTAATACAGCTAGGAAGCAGCAAAGTATAGATCTAAACGTGGCATCAGCTCCAAGATTAATGTTCTTCACCATTTTGCTATCTTTATAATAAACAGTACTCTGTAGTCCAATTTTCAGATGACCTGGCTGCCTCCACTGCCAGACTAGAAGCTCCTCAAAGCCAACACCTCTAAACCTCTAGTTCCTAGTATAATACTGGGCACACAATATGTATTGAAGAGATAGCAGATGGAAATAGATGTGGTAGAAGCAGAAGATAACCAAAGTTAGAGTGGACTGGCAGTCACCAGCTCAGGTGTGATGAGCATAATGTGGCTTACTGAGCTTAGCCATGGATGAAATCAGCTGACTTCCAGAAAGAGCCGGGGGCAACTCTTTTGAGCCTACCGCTCTACTTTCTCAGAGGCAGAGGGATACTCAGACCAGACTCCCCAGATAAGCTTTAGAATTGACCAGGGCCTGGAAGGACCCTCTGGGCTGGTATAGACCACTCATTAGTAGGTCAGGACTGGATGCAACCACTAAGGGCAGGGAGACAAACAGGGTCTAGACAGAGTCTACCCTGGTGTCCTCACCTCTAGGATGCAGAATGTGAGTGATACATTGTCCCAGATCTCTTAAGCAGCATTGGTGCTGAGGGACAGTTTAAAAGACAAGGGTGAGGTTCTCAACAGGACCTTCCCATAGTATCTATAAATTCCTATCTAATTGTACCCTCATTGTAAACTTAATACTCATTTAAAAAGACCTCTTCTCATGTAAAAAGCAAAAAATAAAAACATCTATAGAAAACATTTTAACATCTATTACTATATAAAGTAGACACTCTAAAAAGACAAACAAATGCTTGCTTTAAAGGAAGCTTCTAGACAGATTCTCTAGGCACCCACCCCAGTCCTAGCCATGGTGGAACTTCTAGGGCAGACACAGTTTCTGACTCTCCCCTTCCGAAAATGGGGCTTCTGACCTGTTGGCGCAGGAGTTGTACTTGACCATGCTTAGCATGGCAGCCATGATGAAGAACATCAAAATGGGGTCAAGGAGGATGTACTGGGATAGAGTGAGGCATCCTGTGTCTGAAAAACATGAACACACTAGTCAAAATGCAGAGTTAAAAGAGGGAGCCCCTGAAAACCAAATACCCCAGTAGTAAAAAACAGTTCCCCTTGTTAACTGTATGTGATCACCTAAAGGGGTCATTGAGTCACCACTGGATCACCACAAGGTAGAAGGCCACAGCTCTGGGGTATACCAAAACCCAATGATATGAAGCAGTGTCAGACACTCTTCTAGGCCCTCACTTCAAAAGAGGATCATGTTGTTCACTCAGTGCATCCCTGAGACAAGTCTCTTCCTTATTTGTACCCTGCTTATGTAGCCACAAATGACATACACCTATGACAGAGTCTGATGGTTTTATATGATGTTTCTGTTGAGGTTGATTTCCCATATAGGTACCACAGTGAGTTTTTCAATCTTCAAGCTTATTTCCCTGCTTAAGCCCTCCAAAGTCTTCCCATCTCACTCAGATTAAATTCTCATATCAGTTGCCGAAGCCTCTGTGGTCTCCCTACCCTGGCCAACCTCATCTCCCAACACCCTCTGTCTCACTCATTCCACCCCTGCCATACATACCAGTCTTCCTGTTGCTCCTTGATTCCACCAACCCTTACAGCAGAATTGCTACTCATACTGTCCCCTTTGCTGAATGCTCTTCCTCAGAACTCTGCATGGCTTAATCCTTTGTTTCACTCAAGTCTCTGTTCAAAGCTATCTTCTCAGGGAGTTCTTCAATGCCCACCATAAAGCAGTACTGATCCCCATTACTCCATCCTTACCCAACTTTACTCCTTACGTTGCATTTACTGTTTAAGATGGTTTTGTTGTTGTTACCTGGAATTGAACTCACAACCTTGTGCTTTGCCAGGCAGGTGCTGTGCCGCTGAGCTATATCCCCAGCCCTGTTTAAGATGTCATACTGCAGACTTATTAATGTACTAGCTTGCTTGTCTGCCCCTCTCAAGGGTAAGTTCCATGACAATGAGGCCTCCTCAGTGTACCCTCTGAATCCAATAAAAGGGGCCTGGCATAAGGTAGGCACTTGAGAAACAGGTGCTGAATAAAAAAGGAACAAATGACGAAACAAATGCATAACTGGAGAGGAAAATTAAAGAAACAAGGGAAAAGTCACTAGTCCTCTCTAGGGAGATCCTATGTATAATCTTGCAATAAATCCATCAAAATAAAGCAATATGTCTGTCAAAATCATAAATGCAATAAATCCATCAAAATAAAGCAATATATCTGTCAAAATCATCTCTAAAATGTCCTCCTAAACTGGTCTAGACTTCTTTAAATGTTAAGCTCATGAGGTCATGAATTTACTTTCACAAGAACAGGGCTAGCAAGAGGATCAACTTCTATAATCATCTCTCACTTGTCCATAAGAGGATCCACAAAAAATATTTAAGTTTCCATTGCTATCTCCTGCCACACAGCTATTTTTGCAGTGTCTGGCCTTATATCAATTGCAATTAATTTGGGGAATGCAAACTAATCTTAGTATTAACCTCAGAGAAGTAAAATTAAAATGATAAGCTCCCTTCAAACACACACACACAAAATTACCCATTTCAAACTCAAAAATGTGGAAAACTGGGTCGGGATGTAGCTCAGCAGCACAGCACCTGCCTGGCAAGCACAAGGTCCAGAGTTCAATTCCCGTTTCCATAAATAAATAAATAAATAAATAAAAGAAAAACTTGAAAGTGCTATATTCCTTCTGGTTACCCATGCCAACTCTAACAATATAAAAGCTTGCTACATCAAAGTGTTAAGTATGGAAATAAAATGAGATTAGTAACATATTTTACCTGACCTTCATGTTAATGAAGAACTAGGGCCATAGATGGGGTGATTTAATGTACTGATTTCTAGCTATCCTCACAGTGAAACAGCCCATTTCCAAAAATACACAGGGTAAGACAACTTACCAAAGGTGAGAAGAGCAGCAGTGAGCAGTGCTGCTGGGAGGGACTTGGACAGATCCAATACAATGAGGTAGGCAAAGGGGACCAACCAGGATCCAAGGAATGCACACAACTATGGAAGGAACAGAGAAGTTGTTAAATAAATAAGCTAGAACCAAGCATGAAGGACCTATTTGATTTGGTACAAACTAAAGTCTAAGATGGAGGACCCTGATAAAGATATGTCTCTGCTGACCCTAAAGTCACCTAGAGTATCTATAAATAAGAAAAAGGGGTGTAACAGTGAAGAGTCAAATCAGATCAAGCAATACACTATGTTTCTAGGGAGCAGCAACAAATGCACTGGTCTAAAACTGGAACAATGCAGCATCACTGCTAGCTATAACACTAGCACATCTTTTATCTCAGTTTCCCCACCTGGCTAATGGGAAAAATAAGAGCTCCTATCTTAGAGCTTTACTATGAACATTAAACTAGCTGCAAGTTTATTAATTCACAGAAATATCTGACAGTCTACAGCCATACTACCCTGTTGGCACCCTACCTCATCTGATCTCAGAAGCTAAACAGGGTGGGGCTTGGTTAGTACTTGGATGGGAGAAATATCTGACAAACATCAGATTCTAATACTACTTCAAGCATTAAATTATATCTAATCTTGTACTCAGTGTGGATATAAGCTGAGAAAGGCCTCTTCAAAAGTAGTTTAACATTTTCAGACTTTCTAACCTTATTTTTACATTGTCTCCCTGGTACTTTTCTTCAATCACACCAGAAACCACTCTTTAGTAGTAAATAGGCAAGCCCAGGGAAAAGTAAAATTCTCACACTTAGGTTGTCATTTTTTGTAAACAGAAACCAAGTACCCTAGCATGAAAAGACTGAATGGGGATGCTGTGTTTGGCTTCAATTTCCCTAACATGTTCACAGTGAGTCAGGCCTATGCCCAAATATGCATGCTTTGTGGTATTCAAGAGTCAACAGAAAGACAAAATCAGAGTTCGGTTCAGTTCCCAGTACCGGAGAAAAACCAAAAAAAAAGAAAGACAAAATCACTTAAAAACACAAACTTCAGGATAAGGGACACTCCTTGTTTAATATGGCAGGATATGAACATGTAAACTATCCAATGATTAGCCCAAATAAGCACACAGCCATTTATCTAAAATGTTCTGGACTCCTCAAGGGAAGGGGCTTATAAATCAAACTGTCCTGAGAGTTCTAGGCTGGAGGTCGGTTTTATGAAGGTTTCATTAAGCTACAAGTTCAAGATTCCCAGAGAGCTGAGTGTTTAGGCTCTGCCAGGTTTATCAAAGCAGACGCTGCAAGTCAGAAGAACTGGAGCAGACATATGGCCCCCTGAAAATAATTACTGGAAAACTCTATGTGTGCTTGAAACCTTTGTAGGTATAAAAGCAGGAAGCTGGAGATAAGGTGTGGGGTTTCCAAAATCTAAGGAAAGCCTCTCAGAAGTGGGTATTATCTAAGCAGCTGTGTCTGCAGAGAGGAAAGATAAATTTTGTGCCAGTACAGACCATGGGGCAGCTGCAGGCCACTCCTGACTGCCAGGCCTGAACCCTATGGCACACATGGCCAGGGCAGCAGGTGACAGTGTGTGCTTGCTCTATATTATCTGTGGCCTCCCCTTTCCCTCTTCCCCACCTCAGTTCTAAATCTCCACACCAAGAGGGTGAAGTGTGTCCAATTATCTTCCTCTCCCCCTCAAAGTCCCTTTATTTACACCTGCCACCAATCCAGGGCTTCTAACTATGACATTTCTGACTCACTGAGGCCCCAAGGTTCCTTCAAATTTATGTCAAGTCAGGAAGCCTTACTCCTCTCATTCCCATGTAGCTGTGATGCTCGTATTTGTCTCCTGGCTTCTGGAACAAAAAGGTACCATCATATCCACTCAGGTAGCCTGCAAGACCTATCAGCATCTGAGGAGAAAAGAACAAACAAAAAGATGAGAGACTTTTGGGAGAAAACCCCTCTGTCCTCTGATCTTCCTTCACTTCAGCTATACCCACAGACTGGCTTCCTTTTACAACTGTCCACAGGGGGAATGGCCAATGTGGCATTTTCTCCTGCAGCTGCTACAGAGTAAAGAATCTTTTGACTGTAGAACTCTTGGCTTGAAATAAATCCTCTCTTGTGTTCTGGCTCAGCTCTTGGGAAGAGTACAGGCTAAACACTTCGGGAGGAAAAGCTCCCACAATTTGAAGGGCGGGGTCAGTGAGGAGTTCTCACATTCAGTCTTCATTCGTTATGAAATAAAACATAGCTCTTGGGGGAGGTCAAGGACAAACACTGATTCCTAGGAAGTTGGAAAATGAGGGTCCAAGTCACAACGAAAAGAGAGAAAAATGACCAAGTAGCTACACACCTGGAATATGGAACAGAGAACAAATGAGGAAGAGGAACACAAAGTTTTTCCCCAGAGAGGAAGAGAGAAAAAAATTTGCAAAATGGAGCTACAGGCTGGAAGTGGTGGTGCACACCTGTAATCCCAGCACTAGGGAGGCTGAGGCAGGAGAATCACTGTGAGTTCAAGGCCAGCCTAGGCTACAAAGTGAGTTCAAGGCCAATCTGAATTACATGGTGAGATTCTAAGCACCCAAACAAACAAAAAAATGGAGTTACCTGTTTTATTAGGTTGTTCTAAGACTGCTTACGTGAAAAAATATATAATTGTCCTTCTCTTTATTGTGTTATGTTGTAAAGCAAGCAGGAAGAGGCACAATATTTACTACCTTTTCCTGGGCTCAGAACCAATTTAAAAATAGGCTATTTATACTGTGTATGGTGGCACACATGTGCCTATCACCCTTAGCACACTAGGCTGCTGAGGCAGGAGGACTGCAAGTTCAAGCCAAGCTTAGGCAGCTTAGCAATTTAGTAAGACCTTGTCTTAAAAAAATTTCAAAAGGGCCGAGATGTAGCTCAAGGTGAAGACCTTGAGTTAAATCCTCAGTATAAAACAAATATAGGCCACTTCTCTCTCTCTTAGCTCTCGCACTCCCTCCTACCTGCAAAGATCTTCTCCCTGGTACCTGTGCTCCTATGCATCCCTAGGCCCACCTGTCACAGACCACTACCCCTGCCTCCCTCCACCCCTGCCTCTGTCCCAAACACCACTTGCTCCTACCTCTTCACAGGCAAATGCCTGTCCCCTTGCTGTCAAAGATTTCAGACTCCAGTCAGAAAGGGTTGAATGAATGCCAGGGCCTAACCCATGAGCCTCCGCAGAGGTACTTGTTTTTAAAAGTATAAAGTGAAATCTAATTGGGAGAATCACTCAATGTAAAATGTGAGAGGAACAAGTCAAACAATGTGTATGCTGGGAAGAGGGGGACAGACTCTAGCTAGTCAGCTCCTCTAAGCATTTCTGTTTTATGCAATACATTCCACTCATTTTTCTAAATTGAGGTAAGTCTCAGTAACATACAATTTACCACTTTAAAATGTACAAGCTGGGGCTAGGGCTATAGCTCAGCAGCATAAGCACGTGCCTCACAAGCACAAGGTCCTGAGTTCGATTCCGGGTACCCCCCCCAAAAAAAATGTACAAGCTGGGTATGGTGGTGTACACCTGTAATCCCAGGACTCCTGGAGGCTGAGGCAGGAGGACAGCCATGAGTTCAAGGCCAGCATAAGCTACATAGCAAGACCCCATCTCAAAAACACCACCACACACACACACATACACACACACACAGAAAAAGAAATTCTATAATCAGTAGTTTTAAGTATAGGTACCCCTACCTAATCCAGGACCTTTCATTATCCCAAGAAACCCCACACCACTTGCAATCACTCCCTAATCTTTCTCTTCAGACCCCGACAACCACTAATCTACTCTGTGTGTCTATGGATTTGCCAATTCTGGATATTCTAATCTCATTATCTGCAGCCTTTTATGTCTGGCTTCTTACACTTAGCATAGCATTTCTGAGTTTCATCCATGCTGCAGCATTTGTCAGAACTTATTCCTCTTCATGACTGAATCCTATGCCACTGTATGAATATACTACCTTTGTTTATCCATCAATTAGTTGATGGGCCTCTTTCCATTTCTGATCCCAAAGCATCTCGAGAAACGCCAAAGATTTTCTCTGAAAGTAGCTGGTCTGAAATGCTGGAGAATTCTGTCAGGGAATCCTTAAGTTCAAGAAGGACAATCAAAACTGACACTTGGCTCCATCCCTTAAGAGCCATCCTCCCAGATAAAAGCTGTTTATTACATTGCTCACCTTTCCCAGAGGTGGGTGCACGTCAAAGAAAAAGGTGCGGTTGATATAGAAACTTCCCATTTTTCCAAAGTGAGTCTCATCCCAACTAAAGAAGAAACAAAACACTTTAATAAAGCATAGTTAAAATTATAGTTAAGACCAAAAGCTATGAATTTCAAGCAATTAATTACAAAGGATTTTGTGTGTGGGTTTTCTTTTGTTTGTTTTTGAGACAGGGTCTCACCATGTAGTTCAGGCTGGCCTTGAACTTACTATGTAGCCCACGGTGATCCTCCTGCCTCAGCTTCCTGAGCGCTGGGATTACAGATAAAAGTTTGGATTAAAAAAACTTTTGACACAAATGATTTGAGGAAGTAAAACATTATGGATATTAACCATCTGGATATTAACCTTCATTTGGATAGCTGAGAAAGGTTAGCAAGTATTTACCAAGCAGTTACCATAAATTTAAGTTAAATATATTTTGTATCTTGAGTATCTATTAATTCTAAAATGGTAGAGTTTTCCTATAATATGGAAAAGTTTGTAGGTAGGAGGGAGTGCGAGTGATTACATTTTAATTGCAAAATTAAAATTACATTTTAATTTTGCAATTAAAATGTAATCACTACACAGCTGGGTTGCTAAGCAGAGAGTCTTTCAACCATGCCTGTCACAGGAGTCTGATTTTGCTCATCAACATGATTAAGTATGATCTGACTGATCTTACTATGATGAACCAACCAATATGCAAAAACTGAGTGTCGTCTTGCTAAGTTAAGAGCATGTCTAAAATGCATTCTTGGCTGAGCATGGTGGCGCATCCCTCTAATTCTAGCAATCAGGATGCTGAAGCAGGAAGACTGCTGTGAGTTTAAGGCCAGCCTTGGCTACATAGTGACTTCAAGATCAACCTGAACTACTCCCATCTCAAAAAAAAAGAAAAGCATTCTTGTTATACAAGTTATTTTGCAAGAAGGAAATATCACACATTAGATTTTAAGCACAGCACAAAGCCTAGATCTTCTACATAACCACATAAACCTTTTCTACCATACACGAGGGCTTTAAGAAGGCAGCCAAGTCATTCTGCACTGCCTGATCACTTCTGTTTGTTGTTTTTTTCCTTGCAGCTCAAAGAAGAGTACTTTCTGCTGCCATCCATCTCAGGTCAGCTTCCATGAGCAGTCATTATGGAACTATCACACTCGGGGCAAAACTCACTTTTCCCAAAAATGTAGTGTGTATGTGTGCATGTGTTTAACTCAGCGAGCCCAGGATATGGGCAGAAAAGCAAATCTATTTCGTCACCTGCTAAATATACTGGCTGTCACGAGATGAGGACAGAGGGATGGTGATATAGAAAAGAGAAATAACTTCAAAGCAGTGTGACAAAAAACTTGTGGAAAGTAGAGTTCTGGTACCAGCTCCACCTCTTACTAATAGTGTGATGTGGCAAAATCACTTGCTCTCTCCAGTATTCCTTTTTTATGTACATGATGTAGACAATAATAGTATTTGCTATGCCCCCTCCCAGAAGGGTATTAGGGCAGAACTCAGACAATACACGTGAACAAACTCTGTAGACTCAAAAGTATGACACATACTGTGCATTACCTAAGCTGTTCCAATATCTGTGGTTAGTTCTGAAGTCCGTCTGGAAACACACTAACAAGGGGCATGAGATTTTCACTTCAAAAGTTTCCCAAGTAAAATCAGTAGCAACATTCAAATTTCCTCTTGGCTTTAACTGCTTTTGTCAGGAGAGACAGTTCTCCATGGCTCTCCTGTGCTCCTACAGGCCTTGCAGGTTATGCCAAAACACAAGGTCCTAACATATCTCTACCCATGCCATTTCTCAGTTATATTTGCAGCAAACAACCTTGGGGAATTTAGTATCTCCTCTGGGACAGACAGCCTCCTTCCTGCCTGCCATGAAACAGTAGATCCCCAAGTGCAATAGAGCATTCCTGTGTATGCTGTGATGTAACCCACTCCATGTGCAAGCATTCATCCATGCACTGCATGGGATTCTAGGGCAGAGGGATCAAAGCAACATGCTGATGCTTCTTATCCTACTTGCTATTCCATGAGAAAAAAAGTCAATTGTTTCTGATCCAGGTCTTTGTATTTATAAGCATCCATAAAACAGTGACAGGTTAATACTTAGCTTACAAGAAAGCTAAAAAACCAAAAACAAACAACAACCAAAAAACCCAGGCCTTAACAAAAACAGGATGATGAGAGACATAGCTTTCTGAAAAAGGAAGGACAAGGGGCCTCATGGCCTGAGTTACAGATATGAGAAGATTCCCTGGAACTTGTTTGCAAATGTTCGTGTCAAGTGGTGGGCAACAGTGTAGGAAGGAGCAGAATAGGGAGAGATAGGATTGAAACAGCTGGCTGGGTTACTAATCACTCTCCTCTGAGCAAAAAGAAAAAAGAGGTGTGATCATAACAATTAAGCAACAAGCATTGCAGGCTTGGTCAAAAGACAATATGAGAAGTTGGGCATGGTGGTGCATGGCTGTTGTCCTTGCACTTTGGGAAGCTGAGATGGGAGGATGCTAAGTTGGAGCCTAGTGTTGGAAATTTAGTGAGACCCTATCTCAAATTAAAAAAATAAAAAAGGGGTGGAAATACAGCTTAGTGTGAAAGTACTGGATTCAATCTCCAGTATCATAAAAAACAAAAAGTAAAAAAATTAAAAGGCAATATGGATACAGTTGTAGAATCAAGAAGTCTCCAAAGTTTCAAGAAATGATGCAGCGGTAAGGACTCTACTGTTCAATACAGAATTTCAATCAAAACGAAAACTCTAATAAATCCTTGATTTAGCTGTGTGCTCAAGCCAAAAGTAAATGTGTCTTGCATACTGGCTTAGAGCCACTCTGTTCATTTATGTACCCTGATGCCTCCCCCTCTACTAGCTCAGCTTCTTCAAAGAGTGTGATGACTAAAGGTAGAGCCATGCCTCTACTATACCCAGTTCTGTATAGGAGAAGGAGAAGGGAGAAGGATTTGCTAGGCACAGGGGCTACCAAAGGCACTAAGGACTGCAGAAAGAGCCATTAGCAGTGAGTACAAAGACTTACAGAAAAAGGCCCCTAAGCCCAGGGGCTCACTGGACACAAGGAAGTATGATGAGGAAAAAGTGGTGCCAAGCCTAAAGGGCTAAAGGAGAAATAAAGCTTCTCTCCATTCCTCGCATCCATCACTCCCCTCACTCTCCACCTGGGAAACGGTTTCATCTCTGGATAGTTCCTGATGCAGGCCAACTAGACTCATCAGTCCAAAGGGCAAAAAACGCCCAGGTTCAACTGATAGGGTTTGAGCCACTTCCCAATGGGGGCAGGGCTCTTTAGAGTACTTCAATGTACTATTATGGCATCCACGGCTGAATGTATATCCTGTATTGATTCACTAAATGTCAAAGAGGATTATCCCATTCAAGGACTGCTGTGTGTAGAGAGGTGATCCTATTTTCCCTTGTGATCCAGGAGAAATAAATAAATCCCTGGAAGGCAAAGAGAAATCACAGCTTTAAAGGATTAATGGCTGCTCAAATACTAAAAAACTATTCACCAGGAAACAGCGCCACCTGCTGAACACAGATTTTAAGTACACCTGTTTTCAAAAGGGCAGCTATTAACCTACTGCACTAAGCTATTAACTTGAGTGTTTACACCACATAATGTGCTATACTTGTACTGAACTCTCACTGAAGTTGAGCGCCTGACCCACGAAGGCCTCAAGACTCTCTGGACTGACATTCCCACTCTGAGGTAGGTTAACTTGTCATTCACAGCTAACAAGGGAAGGGGCTCAACAAGCCTCACTGTCCTATGGAAATAGTACATTTCAGAGGAATGCCAGCTTGCCCTCCATGGCATCTGCGTTTTACTTAACTACTTCCCACTCCACTTTCTGAAGTGCAGATGATGGTTTAGTGGGACCCTTGATTCACTGAGGTTCCTTAAAATGCTTGTGCCTGGTTTACTGACAGGCTAAGTTAAAAGCTGAAAATGTCCACTGGGCAGCATTCAACCCCAAAGACAACCTGTATGGTCAACTGCAGTAAATGTTAAAGTGTCTAATATGCTACTTGGAAGACTAAATATTGAGAGGCACAGATGTCCACTGGGGAGCTGACAACCATGGAAACAAACTGGCTGCTTACTGATGAGATAGTTGGGATCACTCATGTCGGTGCCCACAGCAAGGCCCAATGCTCTGATAAGACTAGCTGGAATTAAGCTGCTGACCAAGCCTGCACCACCTGGATTTATCAATGTTCCAGGCATAGAAAGGCCTCCATCATCATGGATTGGCCCCCAAGTAAAGGATCATCAGTTTCTGAAGCAGAAGCCACCATCACACATTAAGACTCCTTCCCAGAGTTGGCCTGCTTGTCTCTGTGGTAAATGAAGAAACACTGCATGGGCACTGACCAAAGAGCTCTGAGAACACTAACTATATTAAAACTTTTTCCTAAACTCTAGAGTTTTCACTGGTACCTCACTGCTGCTGGAACTTTTTCAGGTTATGGTGATGTAGCTGGTCCAGTCTAGTCATCTGACTCTGGATATCCCACTGTGGCCCTTGAAACTAAACTGTCACATTTTCAGATTTCCAAACCACCTGTATAGTCTGACAGTGGTATTCGGTCACACTGGCCACCCAACAATGGGTCTGCGGACATTCCACACTCCTTTTCATCCACAGGCATCTGATATGGTCAAGGATTGAACAGTCATCTCAGAAATCATCTCAAAATGAATTCTAACCCCACCCATGTCACCTCCTCCTGGTCTACATGCCCTAATAAAGCAGTCTGATCACCTAATGTGGGCACACTTAAGATGCATCTCTTGACCACCAACTGGGTAGTGATCAGAAAAGGAGTGCAGAATTATAAATTTACTTTCAAAAACAGACTTTTCCAACCATGATTTGTTTTTCATTCCCATTAGAGAAACCCCAGATGAGCTCGGAAGGGCAGCAAAGGATTGACAGAACTCAAATTCTAATTTAGTCACCTGGATTGTCTTATTAGAGTGCCATGGTCCAAGACTCTAGCATAAACATAGTAACTACTATATTGAATACACTGCTTTTTAGTCTCCCCACTGTTGCCAACGAATGTCAGGTAGAAAACATAATGGGTTTCTGTCAATTTTCTAGCAACGCTCTTGGCAAAAATGTCTGGATATTAGTAAGGGAGAACCAAAGAAATGGTGAAGACATAGGAACTATGGTGGGACATGCTAATTATGTGACAGTGATAGGAAAGAAGCAACACCAGTACCCGGAGAAGAAACACTTCAGACTTTGGGAGACGCAGAAGGAAACAAAGGTTCAGCACCAAACCCTGACAAAAGGCTCAGTGGTCCACCTAAGTCAAGTGAAAGCTGAAGCTGGCAATTTGACCAGAAGCTGAGTTTGTCATCATAATTAAAAAAACAGAGAAACTCAAGTGAGATGGTCAGTCTTGAACTACTCTGATGTGCCCAATGCCGTCCACACCAACACCCAAACATGCACCTCCCTCGTGTGTGAACAATGCATGGATCAGCACAACTTCTGTCAATCTGACGATAAAATCGTATGCTTCTCTTGGAATACTAGGGGTCTCAGGTTATACCATGTACAGTGATTTAGGCCACAACTACTCAGTGACACTGTCCATGTAGCTTAACCAAGCCAAAGTACTGGTGAGCCACATCAAATTTGATAGTGATCCAAATAAAATTTAACAAAACGTCCTAAACTGAGTGACCTGCACCCCTTCAGTATGTAAGGAAGAATGGACCACAAGCTTTCTCTTTGGAATGGGAGCTATGTTATTTTTTTCCATGGTAAGGGCACTGAAATTATTGGCAAGTATACCAAAGATCAGAGATCAAGCGAAACTGTGCACTGGTCATAATGGATAATAGACTGGCCTGAGACTACATCCCTACTATCAGAAATAAGACTCTCTGGTCATCCCAGGACTTACTTACAGATGGCTAAATCCAGGATCCTAATAGGCATAGTGGAGAAAAATATCAAAAGTTCGCCTCCTGCTGCTTAGAGTCCATTTGGTAGAGGCCTTAATTAATTATATGCTGTATGAGACAAATTGAACAGATTTGGTCTCTGCCTCTATCAGCCAGACTAGTCAGAATAGCCAATGGAGTTGCACACTCACATGGAAATCTGCTAGAAGCCATCCTAGTGCAAGATCAAAGAGTGAGAAGTACTCTTAGGAGAGACAGGCCTCTATCAATGCCTGTCATCCATACACCTTGCTGACTATTCTAAGAATGCAAGGCTCAGCCTGCATTAACTCTGGGCTATTTCTCAGAATTATATTTGCAGCAAGCCACCTTAATAGTGAGGGAATCTCTTCCTCCAGAACAAGTAGGCTTGTTTAGTGCCGCTGATAAAATAGTAGATTCCCCAAGCTTGTCACTTCTCTGCAATTCCCTTAGTGCAACTCCCTCATCCACTCAAGCCTATCGTATCACTCCGAGGGATTGGGCGCTGAGAGGTGTCTAACTCCAACATGCTGATACTCATCCTGCCTCCTGCAACGAAGTTCTTTGTCTCTAACCCAGGAATCTAGGACCCTCTTCCAGCAGTAACGAAAGAACAATATTTTGTTAATACTAACTTCCACATAGGGCAACGCTGATAGTGTTTGCTTGCTTGCTTTTCTAATATGCGTTCCACTTCTGACATCCTCTACACTTTCTTCTTAGTGACACTAAGAAAATATGGTATTGCTGTGTTCAGACAAATGAACCACTTTTACGTTGTATAAAGGGGGGAGGGGTGGCGCACATGGCGCATGCTTATAATTCCAGCACTTAGGAGGCTGACGAAAGAGGATGGCCGCGAGTTTGAGACCAGCCTGGGGTTTCAGAGCGAGTTCCAGGCCAGCCTGCACTATAAAGCGAGACACTCCCCTCCAAATCAAGTTGTATAGAACTTTTCCTCCTCCCAGCTGGAGATGGCGTTACTTTACTTAATGAAATCTGATCATGCATGCTTCAACCCAGCATGCCTCAAACCAGTTCTGTGTCATATACAATAAACCTCTTTTCACAGAAAACCCCAGACCTACTTGCTGGAATCCTTGTCACCACCCCTGACAGCCATACTATTCCAACTCTATCGGATGAAAATACCCATTAAGGAATTTCCCTCTCTATTGATGCCTGAAAATCTCGTAGGTGAGGCGCTCAGGCCTTGGGAAATTGTGTACCAAGAATTTCCAAATAGAAAGTTCAAAGCATCCTTACAGGAACCACAATCTGGGAGCGAGGTGACACACTCCAGCATAACTTGGAAGTCATGAGGACTGCTTCCCTAGATCCTGAGTCCTACTGTCCCCCACTAGAGCAAAATCGTTCCTCTAAGTGACTGCACCTCCCGAGAGGTCAAGCAAAACCCTGTTTCGCCTCCGCGGCGAACCCGATCCTCAGCCTGTGAATCCCGCCTCCTGTGCCCGCGGGCCAATCGCAGACTGGCGTCCCTCCCTCCCGGTTGCCAAGGTGTCCGCCGGTCCCTCCTTCCCATCACTCACCAGATGTGCGGTGGCTGGTCCAGACGGTGGAAGCGAGTGGCGAAGGACAGCAGCGTTACCAGGGCCAGCAGTGCCTGCCGGCCCGCCCCCTCGAAGCGCCGCGAGCCCGGATCCCGCCGTTTGGGGCTTCGTGCTGCGGCCTGGGTGGCCCCGTCCCGGCCTACAGCCCTAGCAGCTCGGGGCCCACAGCGGCTCCTCCGGAGACGCAGCTCTGACCCTGCCAGGCCTCTGCCCACGGCCGGCGGCATCCTCCCCCACCTCAGAATGACCCTCCGGTGCGGAGACGCGCTCTGTCTCGTCAGCGGCCCAGCCGGGGACTCCCAGGGGGGCGGCTCGGGCTGTCCTGGGAAATGTAGTTCCCTGCGCGGGGAGCGGAGCGCGGGGCCCCGGGCTCTGGGCGGGGCGGGGAGCGGGGTCGCCGCCCGGGCGGCTAGGAGGCGGCCCGAGGCGCAGAGCATGGCGGGAGGGCGAGAGGGCGGGAGGACCGGCTCAGGAAACCGCAACTCCCGGCGGCACCGCGCGCGGGGGCGGGGCGGCGGGGCGGGGCCGCCCTGAAGCCGTGGGAAAGGCCATGCCAGACCAGCCCTCGCTTCCCGCAGGCCCGGCCGCGGTCTGACCCGTGAGAGTCTCACTGGGCCTCGATCGCCGGCGAGTGCCGAGCGGGCGCGAACTTTGCTGGTTGGAAGAGGGGTCGCCAGAGGTGCGAGATGCAAGCCGGGAAGGTCTGTGCCGAGAACCCCGGGAGAAACGTGGAGCAAGGCAGGGGTGCGGCCAAGGCTGCGCCACTCCCCCTCGCCAGCGGCTCCCGCAACGACTCCCAGCGTGCCGTGCGTGCGCCGCGCCTAGCTCGCTCTGCGCCTGCGCGCTGCTTGCGGGGTGGGGGGAGGTGGGGAGAGGCGGTGGGCAGCGAAGGAGTGGGTTCGCGGCGGCTCGCGTGGCTGATTGCTCTTGGCAGAGTGAGCTCGCGCTTCTGTCTACCCACTTCCTGCCCACAGTTCGTGATAGAATCTAGGGATAGCACTTGTCCCTCGCCTCGTGGTCCCGCGTAGCTCTGCCTACTCGTTTTTGCCAGGCCGTGCTAAGTTAACGGATGGCCTTCCAGGGGTGTTTACATTTTAAGAGAGTCCCAGGAGCAGGGAAGGCTGTGGCACTTTTAAGTCATCACAGTCACCTGGGGCAGCTTCCCGGGTGGGACACACGCTTCCTCCGGTCAGCCCTAAAGCCCCGTAAGCTCTGGCGGAAGGGGCTGAGAGTGTCACAAGCGGCCCAAATCTCGCGCGCAGTGAAGTTTGAGAAACACTGTTAAAATCCTAAGGAAGGTGGGACGTTATATCATCTCAATAGTGTTCGCCCTCCCGCTTGCAGTCTTCTGGAAAATGTGTAAGAGATGATTTAAAAGGTGGGAGTATGGCTCAGTGGTAAAGGGCTTGCCTAGTGCACATCAAGATCGAGGTTCGATCCCCGGCACTGCAAAAAAAATTAATGATAAAACTTACTGGTCTTGGCACAAAGGAGTTTAAGAGTAGGAAATATTTATTGAGGGAAGGATAATTTCTGCCTAAGACAGGAGGAGGCCCGGAAAGTGGTTTGCCAAGGACCGCACTATTCAGGGGAGGGTTTATTTTTTTGTTTTTTATTTTATCAGGGGAGGTTTTACAGAGCACAGCCCTGTGGGTACAACCATCAGTATAGCCGCTTAGATTATATTGATCTAATGCGGAAGCAAATCATAGCAAGTGTACAAAGACTTGCCCTAATAAGATTGCAGAGATCCCCCCCCCCAGCAGTAGCAGAAAGACCAAGTTTCTAATTTTAATGCTTTGGTGTCCATTTTCTTCTACTTCCATCCACCAATCCTGCAGACTCCCAGTTGGTCTCAGTTGGCAGGTATGCCAATTCACCTTAAAGGTCAGGTTGCAACTGGCAGCCCATAGGACCCTATCTGGCCTTCAGGTGTTGTTTTGCCTACACAGTACTGAAGGCTCCTGCCTTAGGATGGTCAGGAAGGGATGAGTGCGAGGGTCTTGGTCACCCACTGAGGTGACTGATGCCTAGCTAGACTTTACTAGACCAGGTGTTACCACTTATCTCAGGCCTGGTCATTGCCACTTTATCTTGAGGCCTGGCCTCCAACAGATGCGCCTCCAGCTAGTTGTAATGAGTTTTCATTTTTGCATTGACTCTCTCATGGGCCCAGCCCTGTCTAATTGCCTATATTTCTACCTAACTTAGCTGTCTATATCACTTTCACTCATTCCTACCTCAAGAAACTTCAGAGGAAAAAAAAAAATAAACTGGGCTTGTATTCTGAAGCTGCATTTTGTTTCTTCAAAATATGATTTTAAAAATCTTTATTTCCTGTTCTCCTTTCTATCTAGTTTTCACTTCTATCCTACCTCAGCTCCACCAAAAGCATGAGAAAAATCCAGGTTGGCAAGGGATGCCCTTTCTGACCAGAGTCAAAGTTCCCCTGCTGCCTGTTGAGAGCAGCTCGCCTATTGGCTCCCGGGACCCACCCCTTCAGGGTTCCACCCTGTGGTGCAGCTCTGTGAGGACATTCCTTGGGAGACTGAGGGTCACCACAGCACCATGACGGAGTCTAGCAAGGTGAGCCAGGCACCTGTGGAGCCACTCTACCCTCAGGAGCTGCCAGCATACCTGGGAACCTGCCAGCTGTTTCAGGGGTCTCATGTGACTCTCAGACCCCCTGATCCAGAGAGCTCTGACTCAGCCCTGAGTTGCCTAAACAGAGCTGGGGAAGAAGGCCCTGAACAATGAGAAGAAGCCCTGGGCTGGTGGCTGAGAGCTCCTTCCTGGTGAGTTCTTGGGGCTAGAAACCCACCCAGCCTGGAGTAACTCAGGCCCTTACCCTCTCTCTCCTCAGCCCATCCTCTATTCCTATTTCCGAAGCTCCTGCTCGTGGAGAGTTCGAATCGGTAAGTGCTGGGCACATGGGTGGGGTGGGGTGGGGTGGGGTGGAGAAACCAGGTGCAAAGCTGGCCTGCAACAAGGGGAACTCAGTCGGGCAGGGCTTCACCCTGCAACCGATGTCCCTGGTCTCCTGGATCCCCATCCCTGAATGGAACCCCTACCCCAGAAGTCCAACACGGAGATAGCAGGTGGGAGGAAAGGGACTTCCACTTCCCTGTGCTGCTCTCCAGAGCCCCTCAGCAACCATGATTAAAGTAGGTTCACAAAATCCAGAGGTTCCTGGTAACTGGCAGGGAAACAGCTGGCCTCCCTTGCGTCTTATTTGATCTGGCAAATTAAACAGAACTGTTTGGTGTCAACTACAGAGAATTTAGTGGAACAGAAACTACAGCCCACTCCCTTAGTCCTAAGTTGGACCCCTTTCCTCCTTCAGGTTAACACCATCGTTGGCCAAGGGTCATAGCCACAGCAGCTCATACTGAGGAAGAGCTCGGAGCTGAATGCTTTTTTAAAAACTTATTTTGATGAATTGATTGATTGAGGCAAGGTCTCACTATATAATTCAGACTGGACTTGAACTCACTATGTAGCCCAGGCTGACCTCAAACCCACAGCAGTGCTCCTGCCTCAGCCTCCTGAGTGCTGAGATTACAGGCAGGTGCTAACATGCCTGGCTATGAATGCTTTTGTGTACCCGATTCCCTGTCAACCTCAGCCCCCTCAGAGGAGGGACTGTTATTGCTGCTGTTGTGCAGATTAGGAAACCTGGGCACAGGAGCATTAAATCTTCCACCACCATGCAGCTGATGAGAGGTAGAGCTGGACTTTGAACCGAATAATCTGGCTACAGAATGCATATTGTTTGATGCTGGGGGTCAAACCCAGGGCTGACTGTGTGCTAAGCTTTCGCACTGAACTACACCCCACAGCCAGAGCATACACTTTTTTTATTTGATCTCCAGAACTTACTCATCTTTTTTTTAAAGAGAATAAATAAATAAATAAAAACAATACAAAATTTCAAAACAAGATGACAGAAAAATTAACAATGGTTGTTATAGAGCATATTGTTATTTTTAAAGTAGTTGCTCAGATTACCAGAGATAGACATGCAAGATTGATCAAACAATTAGGCATTAATTGTTCCTTTCAATAAACCAATAAAAGTTAGTAGTACGATTATCTTAGCTATCTTGTATGTATATATATATTTTTTTCCTTCCTTCTTTCCTTTCTCCTTTGCCCCACCCCAGTTGTTCTTTCCTTTTGTGCAGTTTCTTTCCCTTTCACAATATCTATTGTACCTTTTGTATCTTTTTTTTTGGTTTTTGGTTTTTGGTTTTTCTCCGGTACCGGGAACCGAACTCACGACCTAGCGCTTGCCAGGCAGACGCTTTTGCCACTGAGCTAAATCCCCAGCCCCAGTACCTTTTGTATCTTATTTACTGTTTCAGTTTCTTACACTAGGGAGACAATACGATGTTCACACACGTGGGCCTGATTTATTTCACTTATGAGTATATAGTCTCTAGTTGCATCCATTTACCTATAAAAGCCTCAAGTTTATCTTTCTTTATAGCTGAGTAATACTCCATTGTATGAAAATACCACCTCTTTTTTATCCATTCCTCAGTGGATGGGCATTTGGGTTGTTTCCAAGATTTAGCTATGACAAATTGCACTGCTAGAAACATGGGTACACATATATCAGTATGGTATGTTGTTTTTAATTGTTCTGGAAAAATACCCAGAAGGGGAGTAGCTGGGTCAAATGGGACCTCTAGTCCTAGTTTTTTGAGGAATCTCCACACTGATTTGCACAGGGGTTGTACCAGTCGCAGAATCCACACTTTTAACTGTTACACTTTGCTGCTTGTCACATGGGGAAACTGTGGCACAGAGGCCTCTTACTGAAGGTCGCACAGCTAACAAATACATGTGATGAAATTTGAACTCGAACAGCCTGTTTCAAAACTTGGCCGTAACTGCCAAGCCATCTTGAGTAACACCCGTCCCTGTCCCCGCAATCCCGCAGCGGAGTTTGTGGCTTCAGTAAGCAGGCGCATCAGGTGCCAAGAGAAACTCCTCCGAGAACAGCTGTTTTCCTTGAGCGCAGACTCTACCCTGGCTGGGCCAGAAGCCAGAACAGTAGGAGTGCTGTCTGTGGGGCCTGCTGGCCTCGGCCTCTTCCTCTGAGTGCCAGACGCACTCACTGTCCCACTGTCCAAGTGGATCTGACCAGCACCAAGGAGGACACTGGCCCACTGAAGGTTGTCCTTACACTGTGATGTCCCGTTCTCCCTCTACTCCTTTGCCTTTGTAGGAGACCAGCTACCGCCATATGCTAATACCCAAGTGTACCTGCACACACACACACACACGCACACACACGCACACACGCACACGCACACACAGTCTTCTCCACTAAAGGAGTATACCAAGCATTTTTACCCTCACCTTGCCAGAGGATAGAGAGGAAACCTGCCCGCTAGAGTCGCCACAGAGCTCTAAGACCACCAAGGAGCCCTGAGCACAGAGAGGATGGTTTTGAAAGACTCTTCTCTAAATAGTTTTGTTAACCCATCGTGCTCTGCACAATCCCCAAGCATCTTCCCCTGGCCTCTAGATGCCTTGTTAAGGGAATATTACAGGTCTCCAATAAACACACCCTGCTTGCTGCTGTTCAAGGCCCAGGAGGGGCAGCGGTGAACAGGACACACTCCGCTGTCCCAGGAGCCTGCAGTGGACCACGACTCATAGGGCCACCCAGGGAGCACGAGGGCTCTGTAGGAGGCCCAGAGGGTGCAGTGGTACTGCTGTACATCTGGAATAGAGTAGTGGGTAGCGACAAGGAAAGTGGAGAGGAGGAGAGTGCCATGCTACGTCTCGACCAGCAGCAGTGTGGAGAAACCACCCTTCAGCAGCCTAATGTCACCCTGGGACGGTTCTTAGATGACCCCAAGTAGCCAGAAGTGATTTCCTGACCTTCCTATCTGGCTTTTCCTAGCTTTGGCATTGAAAGGCATCAACTATGAGACAGTGCCCATCAACCTCATAAAAGATGGGGGGCAACAGGTAAGGACGCTGCCCCCAGACCACAATGTGGAGTTGGACCTTAGAGAGTAGCCAGCCTGGGAGGTGGGGGGTGGTCTGTCTCCAAGAAGTACACGCCTCTCCCCTGCCCTCTCTGGCTGGAGAGTGTTGCTGGCTCTCTCTTGTGGGACAAGGGGGTAAGTTATGTGGCAAGAGGAGCCAGGGGACGGGCCTTTGCTCCACGCTCAGCACCACACCCTACGAGCGCCAGTGCTTCACTGCACGTTGTTGAGTGGCGAGTGGGTCCTTGCCCCACACTGGGCTTCCTGGCTAGCCGGCTGGGGTAGGAGTTGCCTTGGTGGGCACAGTAGGAGATGCGGGGAAAATCACATAGCCAGGCCATTGGGATGAAGTCTTTAGCTCAGCAGCTGCTAGAGTTTGAGATAGTGCATGGATCCCCTAGGGTGTTATCTTAGAGTCAGGAGCTAGGGCCATCCCTAGAGAAATATGGATGGGTGGCAAGTCTGGGCTTTTCCTGCTTGCTTGGCTCTGTTCTAGCCAACTCAGGCCAGGTGACCTAGCCCACCATGATGTGGTCTCCACAGTTCTCTGAGGAATTCCAGACACTGAATCCCATGAAGCAGGTGCCAGCCCTGAAGATTGATGGAATCACCATTGGCCAGTCAGTGAGTATGGAGCAGTTGTGAATGACAGGACTGGGTATGTCTTCCTTTCCTGTGTGTGGCTAAGGCGCACACAGTAGAGGCTCAATAAATATTTGTTAGAAGTTATTTTGGGAGATGAGCAGAGAGCGGGGCACATGGGAAACCAAGTTGTGCAGAACAAGGTCCAAAAAGGCTTTGTAGGGCTCTAGCTTAAGAGCATATGGGAGAGAAGGTAGCACCGGAGGAAGAGATTTCTGGCCCTGTCCCTTGTGGTTTGAGGGTCTCAGGCTCTCTCAGTGCCCTCTCTGGACAGCTGGCCATCATTGAGTACCTGGAGGAGACTCGGCCCACTCCACGACTCCTGCCTCAAGACCCAAAGAAGAGGGCCAGTGTGCGCATGATTTCTGACCTCATCGCTGGTGGCATCCAGCCCTTGCAGGTGAGGCACTTGTACCCTTACACCCTTGCCCACCTCCCACATTGGTGCCCTTATACACTAGCTCTGACGGGTCCACAGGGAGCTGCCCAGCTTGGGGGTGGAGGTAGCAGGAAGACGGAACTTTCACAGACTTTGACCTAGACCATGTGGCAAAAGGGAGCAAGGATCCAAGAAACTTCCACCCTAATAGGTCCCCAGCTGTGTTCCAGGAAGCACTAGGTCTCCAAGGACACGTCCAGAGGTGGTGAAAGGGCCAGGGTGATGGGAGGATCTGAACAGGGTCAGGTCCAGGCTCCCAACATTTAACTCAAGCAGCCTCCCTCTTATGTGTTCTCTGTCATACACATTTCCTATTTCATTTTATTAGACTTGGTGTTATTGTGCTTTAAAGATTTTTGTTTTTTTAACATTGAAAGCTTGTTTAGTCAAGTTAGTCTAGTCACCAAGTAAGTCTAGTGGTGCCATTTTCCCAACAGCTCAGATGATTGTTAAGAGCATTTTTAAAACTAAGCTATGTACATTTTTTAGACATAATGATACTGCTTGACCAATAGACTATAGTGTATAGTGTAAACGAAATTTTATAAGTGCAGAAAACCAAAATTCCGCATGACTTACTTTATTGCCGTGTTTACTTTATTGGCAGGGTCTGGAGCTAAGTATGCAATATCTCCCAGGTATGCTTATACTGGGATTCTCATAGAAGTTATTGTTTTCCCACTACTGGGGATTGAACCCAGGACCTTTGCACTGAGCTGGATAGCCAGTCCTTTTTATTTTGTGATAAGGCCTCACTAAGATGCTACATTACCCAGACTGGGTTCAAATTTGTGATCCTCCTGCCTTAGCCTCCCAGAGTCCTGGGATTACAGGTATATGGCACCATGCCTGGCTGGTTCTTTTAATAGCTATTTTTTTTCTTTTCTTTTGCCAGGGATTGAACCTAGGGCCTTGCGCATACTAGGCAAATGATCTACCACTAAGCTACATCCCCAGCCCCTCCTGGCTGGTTTTGTTTTGTTTTGTTAAGGTTTTCATGGGTGGAACAGAAAAGCAAATATTAAAACTGTTCTGTGCCAACTCCTGATTTTGTGAGAAAATAGCTCAGAAAGGTGGAGTGCCTTTGCCGAGTAACACAGCCAAGTGGTAGCAGGGTAGAAGTCAAAGCCAGGTGCCTATGCAACTGTGCCCTATGCCTGCATCATCTTGCTATTTTAACAAAGCAGACTGCAGCAGACCAACGTCCCATTTATAGGAAATGAAAGCAGAAGTAAAATGGTACAAGGGTTCCCGGGATACAAGGGTGCACCAGACTCAAAACCTGTGCCATTCCCCTCTGCAGCCCCAACCTGCACTGAACTCTTCTGTATGAGGGACTACGTCCCTTACAAAAAAGGAATAAGCATGGTTTCAGAGGAAATGGGCCTTAGGGTATGGTCATGCCTGCCGTAGCCATGGTGGTGTCCTGCGTCCCCATTCTTACACAGGGCTTTCAGACAGGTGGGGCCACTGGGGCAGTCTGAGAAGGTGGTTGTTGGGGTAGCCTCCTTCCTGCAGCTTCAGGGCCACGATGGCAACAAGGGGTCCACAGAGTCCAGGGAGAGGGAGATGAGAGGAACAGCCTAAGGCAGATGGGAACTGAGCTTCCCTGAGGGGAAGAACTCGGCTGAGGGGAAGGCTGAGGCTAGTCTGAAAACCTCAGAGATTTTCCTTGGGCTGTGCAGAACCTGTCTGTCTTGAAGCAAGTGGGAACGGAGAACCAGCTGTCCTGGGCTCAGAATGTCATCTGTTCTGGCTTTGACGGTGAGTCCTCACTCCTATGAACTGCTTCAGAGTGACCTCGGAGAAATGACCTTAGAGCACAGGGCCCTGAGCATCCTACCAGCCTCCCGGGCTGTGTCGATCTTGACAGTGGCATCAGTGAGGGCAGGGCCAGGAGGCAGCAGACTGGGCAGGCATTCGAGCCTGGCCTCAAGCTCCAGCACTTCTGGGAATCTCAGTGCAGGAGGCCCACAGTCCTGCACAACTGGATGATAGCTCAACTTCTGCTTCACTGCCCGCTCCAGCCAAACTAAGACCAGCAAAAGCCTGGACCCGTCAGTTTGAGAGCTGAGGCCTGGGCTGGCTATAAGTCTTCTCTCTTCCACTTGGGCAGTTGTGGCTGGACTTGGGGAACCAGGCTTGTTCCCAGAAACTCTTTCCAGTCCTGGCTGTGACAAATCTTCTAGCACCCACGCCCCAGCCTTCACTCAGATAACCACTCATTCCGTAACTGTGGAGTCCAAGGCTCCAAAGGCCGATGTCCCTTTTCTGTGCCCAGAGTGAGTGACTCATGTTTTCCCCACAGCTTTGGAGCAGATCCTGCACGGCACAGCGGGGAAGTTCTGCGTGGGAGATGAGGTAAGTGTCCCCAGACCTACTCGCCAGGTCTCCTCCTGGTGTTGCCTTCAGGCTGCCCCTCTCTCCCACTTAGACTCAGCCATCTCCTCCCCCTGAGGTAGCCAGGACATGGCTTCCTGCAGAGGCTCTTGCAGAAGCGTGCTAAATCTCCTCTTGTCAAGATCTCTGGCCAGGCAGTCAGTTTATAGGGAGCTGCTAGCTCACTCCTAATCTGTCCTCAGAGGAAGTGAGGTGTCCATGTCAGAAGACGGCCCCTCTGAGACAGCCTGGTAGGCCAGGCATCAGCTGAGGATTTAGACTAGATGATGTCTCCCTTCCCTCTCAGTTCTGAGACTCTAGAATTCACGTACCACTCGGTACCCTTTAATCCTACAGGCTTTGGCTCTGATCGTTCTGGTTCCTTGGCTCCTGAGGCATCAGCTCCCTGCTGGGAACCTTCACTAGGGGCCTGATAATAGCAGTTTTAACAAGCACAATAACATCGCCAGGGGGATCAGACTGTCTCCGGCCACCACATGGTTGGCAGGGCACCTGGAGCTCAGCCTGGAAGCACTGTGGCTCTAGGGGACAGAGCCAGACAGCCCTGGGGAGATAAGAGGGAGGGCGGGGCGGTAGGGATGGGTGGAGGAGCCTAGGCAGAAGGGCGCATAGGGGTTGGCACCCTCCGTGCGGTTGCAGTGGGCACACTGAGTCTGGGCTGCTCACCCCAACACAAACCCACCTGCTCCCCTTTCAGGTGTCCATGGCCGACCTGTGCTTAGTTCCTCAGGTGGCAAATGCTGACAGGTAAGACAGCCCTGCTGCCCTTCCTTCTGCTTCCATCCAGCTGGGCCTCCAATTTCAGCTCCTACGGAGCATCTCATGCAGACCCTTCCCAACTGGCCAGGAGGCGCACTGTGCTGGGCTACAGCAACCACCTTGGTCCTAAAGAGACAAGGTGGAAAAAATCAACGAAATGTCCTGCTAAGCTCACCGTACTTCAGGTGATCCTGTACCGACAGTCCCTGCTCCTAAGAGGAAGTGGCTCACCTGTGGGCACCCCAAGAGCCTGCCATCCCCAGATGTAGGTCTTTGCTCTACAGAGAGCTCTACCTCTGTTTCTCTCTACCAGCCCTTCAATTTCACATGAGTGAGTACCTCTCTGGAAGGCACTTTGCTAGGCAGGCATTAGGAATATGGAAATGTATACCCCCAAGGAGCTTGTGATATGTAAATTCTTGACACTAAGTTTTGTACATAGCAGGTTCTCAATAAAGGGTCATTGCATAGATAGAAACAGTAGGTAACAGAGATGCCAAGTGATACCACACCAGACCTACCCATCCCCAGAGAGCTACTTGTAAAAAGGGTCCGCACAGCAGGAAGCAGTTCTTGTCATTCCCTGGTCAGCCCCATGGACTTTATCTAGCCTTGCTTCACTGCCTACTCTGTCCATGAAAACTCTGGCTTACAAGGTGCTTCTCTCCCACAGGTTCAAGGTTGATCTCAACCCCTACCCTACCATTAGACGGATCAATAAGACACTGCTGGCCCTGGAGGCCTTCCAAGTGTCTCACCCCTGCCGGCAGCCCGATACACCTGCTGAGCTGAGGGCCTAGCTCCCAACCCCGCCCCACTGGCACGAGGCAGGCACAGGAGCAGACAGGTGCTGAGTGCGCTGACACAAGTGAGGCGTAAGTGGTGAGGCAGGAGACTTGAACTCCAGTCCTTGGATCTGAGCTGTAGCTGTAGGTCTGCTTTTCCCCTGAACTTTGTTCTGCCTCAATCCTACAATCTGTCAAATGTCTGAAATATTACCTGCTGTCTGGGTCATGGGATAGTCATGAAGACAAAATGAAAATGGATTAAATGCCTGGCAAGTTTACCAGCGCACCATAAGGAACCCTGGACTCGTCTTCTCATCCGCTGTTAACAGTACTCCAGAGAATGCTCAGACTGCAGTCCGGTCATTCCCAGCCCTCCAGCTTGTTCAGTAAGATGGAGCTGAGGTCCAGAAGAGTAACACTGCCCCTAGCTGGAATCCGTGTGTCTGGATTCAGGAAGTTAGCCAGCCACTTGGCTGCCCTGAAAGCCAAGGGCAAGGAAGAGAAATAGCCCAAAGGCCTGCTTGAGAAACAGGATCCAGGAGAACAAATACAAGAATCAGGAAAGGAAGCATGTGGCAGCCCGCCGAATTCCCAGGGCTAAAAGCGTTCCACTTCAGCCCAGAGAGGCAAGTTGACCGTTTTCTGCAGGAGCAGCATTCTCTAGACCCGTCTCTGCGTTAGGCGGTTCCATAAACCGAGTCACAAATGGTCCTGGCATTGGGAGGCAGACTCCCCTCAGGGGAGCATGAACAGCGGTTTGAGCTCAGGAGACTGGCCAGTGACAATTCACCACGGGCTGTGCTGGGGGGAACAAGCCCCCGAGCTTGGCAATGCTCGGGCAGAACTAGAGCCACCTCTTGGCAGAGTTTTTGCAGGGAGATTGGTGAGACAAAATGACCTTTTAGAGCCTACCTGAGATTTCATTTTTCCTATTTGGCTTTTCGACAGCTAAGGTTTTATGTGTCTGATTCAAATGGAAGCCACCTTTCAACCACATGCCCCTTTTCTCCACCTCAGTCCAGGGCACCTGGTTTCCCCTTCATCCTGGGCTTGTGGCCTCACTTCTCATAAATGACCTGGTTCCAAACTCTAGAATGACCAAAGTGAGCCACTCTTCCCCAAGGCAGGTTTGTCCCTGCAAACCCAAAGACAGAAAGATAGATTACACAGGGCAAGGATGAAGGAGACCCAGCGATACTTCCTGTCCCGCCCTGCTGCCACCTGGATCCTCTTCCTTAATTACTGTAGACTTGTTTGGCTCCCTTGGTCTCTCCACAAGAAACCTCTACTTGGTAAAAGACTAATCTCAGCCCAGAAACCAGGAATTATCACCTGATTTAGATGTCTGAAATGAAGGTGGATTTTTCAGGAGGACGAATTTGGAGGGGGGGGCCCACACTTCAGGTATGTTCCTGCCGCTCTTTCTGCATCATGTGTCCCTGCACCTGGAAAGGTGGCAGGAGCAGAGGAGCAGCAGGCCAGCTTCAGGGGCTGGCTTGGCCACTGGGGCTGCTGCCACCACTCTCCTAGAATAAGGAGGCACCTAGCTCTGCCCCCACCAACAGGTGCTTTTGTGAGCCCAGCTGACCCTAAGGGATTTGCAGCACTGCTCAAGGTACCAGGTTCCCCCACCACCTTCCTCTGCTCAGTCTCCAAGGAACAGAAGTGCAAGAGACATCTGCAAGTGAGAGAACTAGACAGAATCCACATCTGGAACAAGGTACAGAAACACAGACAACCTGAGGCCCCTCCTCCTGCCCTATATGTTTCTAGAAAGAACTAGATATAATGAGGCCTGACCTGTTCCTAGAATAAAATAATCTTGAAGCCTGGACCACTCCAGGTAGCAGTGACCTTGCCTTTGCTTCTGTTCAGCCTGCCAACATGCAGGGAGCCCTCCCAGGTGACCCAGCTAGAAGCTGGGATGTGTGCAGGTGTGACCAGAAATACAACAGACATGGCTCTTACTGATTATATATGTCCTTGCACTTACTCCTTGAAGTTTAATCGGCTCTAATCCTACCACTCAACTGTGTGTATCTTGCTTATCTCCTTGCCTGCCTGTTCCAAGGTGACTGCTAGGAGTTGACTTAATTGGACACAAGTTAGGTCACCTCCTAGGCAGTATCAGAACACAGTATGAAGCTGTTTAACCTGGAGTCCCATCAACCACCCAAAACTAGTGGCAAAAATGTTATGGATCTTAAGGAAATACCAATCAGGTGCAGAAGTGATACAACCTCCTTAACAAACAGTATTTAAAAAAAAAAAAACAAAAAAAAACCCTTATCTAATGTACAGATTCATTTTACATATTCTTCCCCTAGTTTGGGTCCTGTAGCTCAACAAGTATTCTGATGTGCGAGAATCAGTCCTGAGCTGGGGGTAGGTAGGGAACAAATGCTATAGCTTGTCCTCTGGATTCAGCACAGAAGCATCAGAGCCCCTTGAAGTCCATATTTCTCTGAAGCCCTCTGCATTAGAATTCTGGAATAGAGAAGCAACACCAGTAGGATATAGAGAAAGGAGGGATGTGAGTTATATGGAATTTTCCCATGTGATGGAAGACAAGAATTTTTATGATCTGCTGTCTGCAAGCTGGAGACCTGGGAAAATGGGGTGTAATTGAGTCCCACCCCAAACACCTGAGAACTGGGGAAGTCAGTGGTGGAAATCCCAGTCAGAGCCAGAGATGAGACAGTTGTCCCTGCTGAAGTAGTGAGGCGGGAAAAGGGGGCAATCATCTTCCTTCTTGTTCTGTTCGGGCCCTTAACAGCCTGGGTGATACGCACCCACATTGGGGAGGGCCATCTACTTTACTGAGTGCACACATTCAAATACTGATCTCATTAGAAACATCCTCTGATGCAGGATAATGTTTTATCTGGTACTCTGCAGCCTAATCGATTTGACATAACCATCACATCCTCCTTTCTTGGTTCCCTCAAACCCAGACAAACCTATCCTCTACAAAACCAGAAATGTGTCTGAGTCAAATAAACTCAGGGCTCCTTTACAGTAACTTATCTGGAAAGTGCTGGATTCTTGCAGGGATCATCAATTATGTGTACCACTCAGAGGAAGTGTCTAAACCCTAAACCTTCGGTTCTCAGCTGCACTGGTTTTGGACAGTAGTCCATCACGTTACTTCATGATATTTTTGTTTTTTAAAGCTAGAACCTAAGATGTAGGAGCTCTGTACACATCTTGTAGGAACACAAACTGGTCTCAAGGCCAGGGCTGAGAACCATTCTTGCTCCCTTCCTCACCTGGAAGAGCCTCAGGAACACCTTTTCTGGTATCTCCTGTGGGCTTTGGAGATTGGACTGTGAGGAAGTCAGGGAAGCTGGGAGATGCACTTGGGAAGGCTGCAGAGAGAATGCAGCCCCAGAGGGCCATTACTCAGGATCAACTGGAAGGGGTTGGGGTGAGTAGGTCTCTGGCCTCACCGACTGACTGCAGCTTGGGAGAAAGAGCAGTCTCCATCAGTGGGCCTGTAGTTTTGAGTCAGTGAGGCTATTTTGTGTTTCCATCCCTGGGGACTCCACTGGAGTACAAGTCATTGACACTGTCAGTTGCCCTGCTGTTCAAGAATGTGGAGACCTGATGTTTTGCTGACTTCAGCCCCATCCCACAGGACCTAAGCCTTTCTCCTGAGACTGAGGGCGGGCTAATGAGAGGATAACACCCTTTTCTATTCTCAGAGGAACTCATGACCTGGCATTTCTAAAGCTTCCTGACATAGTGCAGGATTCCCACAAGCTCCTCTGGACCTACCTCTCATCTCAAAATGAAGCATGTGATTAGCATTGGTCTGTAAATGAATATTAAATTGAAATATGTCCTTCTGTACAACCATGGATAGCTATCCTCTCCCATCTGCCTGTAATTCTTTTATTTGGGGCCCTAGAATATAGTAAAGGAGCAAAGACCAGGCTTAGCAATAATTAAGCTTCTTTAAAAAGTATTTAAAACTACCTTTTCTGTGACTCCCTCGTCTGCACATAAGTTCTTATTTTCAGGAGTCATATGTACCACCCAACCAAGAATGTCTTAGTCTACTTGTGCCACCTTACCAAAATACCTAAGACTGAATAATTTATAAAGAACAGATTTATTTTAACACAGTTGAAAGCTGGGAAGTCGAAGATCAAGATAATTGGTTCAGTGTCTGGTGAAGGCCTGGTCTCTGCTTCTAAGACAGTGCCTTCAGGGCTGTGTCCTCATGGTCAAAGGGATAGAAGGGCCTAACTCATTCTCACCAGTTCCCTTTTATAAGGCACTGATTCCATTCATGAATGCAACACACTCATGGCCTGCTCCCCTCCTATAGGCCCCACTGCAGAAGTACTGGGGGTAGAGTTTCAACTTGAGTTTTGGAAGGAAGACAAGCATTCAGACCATAGCAAAGGCCATCACCTCTTAGGAGACGTTTTCCAGTAGGGTCTTCTCTCAAAAGGCTGAGTGGTAAAAGTCAAGTCCTCCATTTCCATATCAGTTCTCAGATCTATAAGGGACAATCAGAGGACACCTAATTCTGACACCGAGGCCTGATCACCAGCCTTCCCAGAAAGGGAGTGGCCACAGTGCATGAAGAACAGATGTTAGAGTGGCCCGATACTGGTGTTAGATGCGGAAGGCCTTTCAACTCTGGAATTAATATGAAGTTTGATCAAAAAGTACACTCTGAATTCTATAAAATTAACTAAAGGACCATTTCCATTAATCACTCTCCAAATACTCCCCCTTGCTTCAAACCCTTATCTTTGTTTTTGTTTTGTTTTTGTTTGTGGGGGGCAGTTTTGAGACAGGGTCTCACTATGTAGTACAGGCTGATCTTGAACTCACTATGTAGCCCAGGCTGGCCTTGAACTCACACCAACCCTCCTGCCTCAGCCTCCCAAGTGCCAGGATTACAGGGGTGCACCACCACAGCCAGGAGTCCCATTGTTCTTACCACTTTCTGAAGCAGTTCCACAAGTCCTCTTTCATAAGCTGTGCCTTCAGTTGCACTCTGTAACTGCCTTGATTTCCTGAACTGGTTTAAAATGCTTACCATTCATGGTTATTTTGGCTGGGGCAAAGCCAGAAGCTGAGTGCCAGATCCAGGGAGCCTGTCTTTCTGTTGGATGTCACTTGACAGCAACATTCACTGTATTTTTTTCCATACTGCATTAAGACAGGCTTTCCAAGCCCGGCGTGGTGGCACCTGCCTATAATTCCAGCACTCAGGAGGCTGAGGCAGGAGGATCATTGTGAGTTTGAGGCCACCCTGGGCTACAAAGTGAGTTCAAGACCAGCCTGAACTGCACAGTGAAACCCTGTCTCAAAAAGACACACACACACACACACACACACACACACACACACACACACACACACGAGGCTTTCCATAACCGCGTTAGAAAGTGGTATGAATGATATTTTTGAAGTGAGGAAGAGTTTTATTTGCAATGAATAATAATCATTTGGGGTTTTTTATTAATTAAGTTTATTGGTACATTTTAGGTAAACATAATGATCACATTCATTATAGGGAATCTGTACCTATACATGATACAACTTGATTCTTTTTCTTCCCCCTTTCCCCTTCCTTCCCTTCAACCCGTTCCCCTCATTTACAAAAGCTTTGTTTCCATTTTTTCTTTCTTTTCTCATGTTTTTTTTTTCTTCCTCCTTCTGTCTCCCCCATCCCTAGTTACCAAGAAAGAGTATTCTGAGAGGGATTAACAACAA